TGGTGGACGCCCGTAGTCCCAGCTACTGGGAAGGCTGAGGCAGGAGAATTGCTTGAACCCAGGAGGCGGAAGTTGCCATGAGCCAAGATCACATCTCAAAAAAGAGAAAGTAAAAGAAAACAGAATGGCTACTTCAGAGACAGAGAAGCCCCGAGGACTGCTGGTTGCCCATTTTTACGTTTTTTTTTTTAAATGGAGTCTTGCTCTGTTGCCCAGGCTGGAGTGCAGTGGCATGATCTTGGCTCACTGCAACCTCTGCCTCCTGGGTTCAAGCAATTCTCCTGCTTCAGCCTCCTGAGTAGCTGGGGCTACAGTCACACACAGCCACGCTCGGCTAATTGTTTTTTGTTTTGTGTGTTTTAGTAGAGATGGGGTTTCATCGTGTTTCCCAGGCTGGTCTCAAACTCTTGAGCTCAGGCAATCCAGTAGCCTCAGCTTCCCAAAGTGTTAGGATTACAGGTGTGAGCCATTGCGCCCAGACTAGTTATTTCTTGATTATATGTTAAACAAGGGATGGATTCACGCCTCCTTTTTCTAGACCATATGGGGTAACTTCTGACATTGCCATGGCATTTGTAAACTGTCACAGAGCTGGTGGGAGTGTAGCAGTGAGGATGACTGAAGGTCATTCTAGTGGCCATCTTAGTTTTGGTGGGTTTTAGCTAGCTTCTTTACTGCAAGCTGTTTTATCAGCAAGGTCTTTAGGACCTGTATTTTGTGCTGACCTCCTAACTCATCCTGTGACTTAGAATGCCTTAACTGTCTGGGAATGTAGCCCAGTAGGTCTCAGCCTTATTTTACCCAGTCCCTATTCAAGATGGAGTTGCTCTGGTTCACATGTCTCTGACAATATATAGGCTAGCCTGGGTGCTGTGGCTCAAGCCTGTAATCCCAGCACTTTGGGAGACTGAGGAGGATGGGTCACCTGAGGTCAGGAGTTTGAGACCAGCCTGGCCAACATGGTGAAACCTCTTCTCTAATAAAAATACAAAAATTAGTCAGGCATAGTGGTGCAAGCCTATAGTCTCAGCTACTCAAGAAGCTGAGGGAAGAGAATTGCTTGAACCTGGGAGGTGAATGAGCCAAGATCGCGCCACTGCACTCCAGCCTCAGTGACAGAGTGAGACTCCGTCTCAAAAAAAAAAAAAAAATATATATATATATAATTATAGCTATTAGCCTATATATACATATTTTATATATGTATAATTATAGCTACTAGCCTATATATATATATATATATATATGTATTAGCCTATATACATATATATATAGGCTAATAGCTATAATTGCTTACAGTGTGTCATGCACTCTTCTAAGAGCTCCCCTCCCCTCCCCTATCCTCTTTGAGACAGTATCACTCTGCACTCTGCCGCCCAGGCTGAAGAACAGTGGCATGATCTCGGTACATAGTCCTAAACTTATTTTAGCCCACGTGTAAAATCAAAAGGGCTTCACTGCAACCTCTGATTCCTGGGTTCAAGAGATTTTCATGCCTCAGAATAGCAGGGATTACAGGAGTGCCACCACACCCCACTAATTTTTGTAATTTTAGTAGTGACAGAGTTTCACCACATTGGCCAGACTGGTCTCGAACTCCTAGCCTCAAGTGATCCACCCTCCTCAGCCTCCCAAAGTGCTGGAATTATAGGCAAGAGCCACCATGACTGACCAATGCTTACCTCTTTTAATCCACATACCAGTCCTTTGAGACTATTATGCAAGCACTATTAATAAATACTCTTGTTATTTCCATCTACAGATGAAGTAAACGAGGCATAGAAAAGTTAAGTAACTCGCTCAAGGTTTCAAATATTAAGTGGTGAAGCCACAGTTCAAGCTACCTGACTGCAGTCACTGAGGTGTAGATGAGTGTGTGGATAGTGTTGCAATGTATTGAATGATATAGGAGGAGGAACAGATTTTGGGGGAAAGTATTTTAGTTTTAGACAGGTGATACTGGTTTGCCTCTGGGATCACGTAAGTGCAGCAGTTGATTAAATGTGTCTGGAGTGCAAAAGAAAACTGTAGCTACAGAGTTGAAGAACATCAACATATAGATGTTTGCTTAGCCGGGGCCACACGAGTGCTCTAGGTGAACGAGATACACAAAAGTGGAGGGGTGAAGTGAGAGGGAGGGATATGGTGAAATAAGGAAGGGGAAGCAGTAGCTTGAAGACAAATTTGATTAACTTCAGGATTTCATAGACAATGCCTTGGACTTGGAGATTTCATTAAATTCATGCCCACTGGCACTGCTAGAAGTGTCCTACATCACCACAAACCTAGGGATTCTTAGGATTCTTGAGCATGTGCCAGGACAGATCCATAGTGCGTGTGGTAAGCTGAAAAAATTGCTCCCAAAAGATATTCACATTCTAATCCCTACAACCTATGAATGTTACTTTATGTGGGTAAAAAAAAAAGAAAAAAAAAAAGAAACCTTTGGACTTCATTGTAATTAAAGATACTGAGATGTGGAAATTAGCCTGCATTATCTGGGTGGAGTCTGCCACCACATGTATCCTTTTAAAATGTAGGCTGGGGAAGATTTACAAACACAGAGGGGAAGATGAAGCAGAGAGAGATTTGAAGATGCTGGTCTTGAAGACTGGACTAATGTACTCCAAGCCAAGGAATGCCAGTAGCCACTAGAAAAGACAAGGAATGGATTCTCCCCTAGAGCAGCTGGAGGAATCATGAACCTACCAGTACACTGATTTAGTTCAGTGATACTGTTATCAGACTTCTGGCCTCCAGAACTATGAGAGAATAAATGTGTGTTGTTTTAAACCACCAAGTTTGTGGTAATTTGCTACACCAACAGTAGGAAACTAACACAGTGCTCATTGAAAATTACCACTATTTAACACACTTTGTCCACCATCCCCTAATTCTCAATAGGTCTCAGGCCCCATTTGCCACATATTAGACATAATGCTCTTGTTGCATGCTTTGGTCATGTTTTCTTAGAACACATGCAATAGGCCGGGTGTGGTGGCTGACACCTGTAATTCTAGCACTTTGGGAGGCTGAGGCGGGAAGACTGCCTGAGATCAAGAGTTGGAGACCAGCCTGGTCAATATGCTGAAACCCCGTCTCTTAATGTAATAGAGAGAACTTAAGCTCTATGTGGACGAAAAGGGGGTAAATAGGGGTCTTTTCCTGAAAAGTGCTATGAAACATTATTAGCCTATAAATCCCAAAATTTGTGTTGATTGCCACAGATCTGGCAACTCACTGACTGGACTATATCTTGAGGAGTCAGAAACCACTCCCCTGACTTCTTTGCCTGCACACAGTAATGATCCCAAAGGAAAAGGGGTGTCTGGCAGACACTTGGCCAACTGGTTGGCATGTCTATTTGGGACAGAATAACTGTCAGTTAAGAACCACAGACAGGCTAGGCACAGTGCATCATGCCTGTAATCCCAGCACTTTGGGAGGCCCAGGCGGGCAGATCACTTGAGGTCTGGAGTGCCAGACCAGCCTGGTCAACATGGTGAAACCTAATCCCTACTAAAATTACAAAATACAAATACAAAAATTAGCCAGGCATAGTGGCAGGTGCCTGTGATGCCAGCTACTCGGGAGGGTGAGGCAAAAGAATCACTTGAACCCGGGAGGCGGAGGTTGCAGTGAGCTGAGAATCATGCCACTGCACTCCAGCCTGGGTAATACAGCCAGACTCCATCTCAAAAAAGAAAAAAAAAAAAAAAAAAGAACCATGGGCAGACTGCATCTTAGGAAAAGGGTGGAGAAAGAAGCACATATACAGAATGAATTGGAATTTGTTGCTGTAAAGCGTAATAGTGCCACTCACAGCAATGCTGTTAAGATAGCAACAGTTCTTGCTCTCTCTCAAGTGTTGGAAAATAACTTTTGCAAGGATTGGGACATAGTCCTAAACATTTTAGCCAACCTGTTAAATCAGAACTTCACAATATTGCTTTTCTCCCAGAATTCCAAAATACCAAGGAATTTTGCAGAAAAACTAAGTATACCATTGTGGATATTGAAATCAACATAGCAGTGGAATGTTGGCAGAGCAAAATCCTACAATTTTCGGCTATGACAGAAAACCTAGATACCAATCTACAATCCTCACTGTACAGATGGGAAAACTGACACTAGTCTAAATTCACACAGTTAGTGGCAAATTAAGAGTAAAACCAGGTCTCTAGGCTAGTACTTATTTATTAGTTTTGAGACAAAGTCTCGCTCTGTTGCCCAGACTGGAGTGCAATGGCGTGATCTTGGCTTGCTGCCAGCCTCCACCTCCTGGGTTCAAGAGATTCTTGTGCCTCAGCCTCACGAGTAGCCAGGATTACAGGCGTGTGCCACCATGCTCAGCTAATTTTTTTTCTTTTTCGATCTGCTGGTTTTATATAACTTTTGTGTTTTAGCAGAGGACAGCATTTTACTATGTTGGCCAGGCTGGTCTGGAACTCCTGACCTCAAGTGAGACGCCCGCCTGGGCCTCCCAAAGTGCTAAGATTACAAGCGTGAGCCACCACGCCCGTCCTTGCTAGTACTAATTTAAAAGGCAGGGCCGCTGGTTACCTGCCACAAAAACAGATTTTTCCAACTCAACTGTAGCTATTTAGATAAGAGATATTTCCTCTGTAGCCCTGCTTCAGTGTCCAGTGTTTTACTAGCTTAAGTCTTGATTCATGGCAATTAAAACGTACTTAAAATCGCATTTTCAATTCACTGGATGACTACAATCATGCCACCGCCCGCCGAACGGCGCAAAATAAAATTCGTCTTGCAGAGAAGATACTGTTTCCGGTCTGGTACGGAAGCCGGTTAGCAACCAGGAAGTTGGCGGAACCTGGAGGCTGAACGATTGCACCCGGAGGGCTTGCTTTGTGAAAAGAACACTTCCGGCCTACGGGTTTTTAACCCCCGCAGTCATTAGGTCGGCGCCCAACTCTCACGTTCCGATTGGCTACGCTGACGCTGAAAGGCGGGCTTGCGTATGAGGTTACGCTCTCCCATTGGTTTCTGGCGCGGCGGCGGTTCGGAGAGAGGGTAGCACGTTCAGCTGAGGGTTGTGCGGAGCGCCGCGGCACCGAGCCTGGTTTTGAGCTCAGTATGTGGTGGGAATCCGAGGCCGGGCCCGGTCTGGGTTCCCAGGGGATGGATCTCGTGTGGAGTTCGTGGTACGGAAAGTGCATCAAAGAGAAAGAGTTGTTGCCACTTTGGGCCCACGGTGTCGTGGTCGCCTGGGTCAGCAGAGCCGAGTGGGACCAGGTGACGGTTTATCTGTTCTGTGACGACCATAAGTTGCAGCGGTACGCGCTTAACCGCATCACGGTGTGGAGGAGCAGGTAAGGTGGCGGGCTCGGCCGTTTTGCCTGCGTGCTGGTGGCGCTGCACCTCCCTTTGTCGTTTCTATAGGCCCTGTCTCAGTCTTCCCCTAAGTCGCCTAATGTTGCTCCTCTCCTAAATACCTGGGGGAACGCCGCGACCATATCTTGTGGAAATCCCGTTTGTGGATGGAAAGTAAGGGGTTGTGCCTCAACAGTTGTTATAACTGTGAGGTTTACCCATTACCTCCAGAAAGTGACCTTCTCCCAACTTGGAGAGGATGCCAGAGGGACTAGTGAGGCCTGCGCCAGGGCTTAAGGAGTAGTTTAGTACCCTAGGGTGGATTTCCGATTCCAGTTGGGGAGAACAGGGAGGAAGTCTTGCCTGCAAAACCATGTTTGAGTGAAGCGCCTCATTCCGGTTGGTAAGATTGAGTTGGGAGCTGACTAACAAGGGGTAAGGGGCTTCTCTAGCTCAGTGAGTTAATTTAGGAGTGAAAGAAAGGGGTGTGTCCATACTGTTAATTGACAGTCTACCAGTTAGGTGTCCTGTATATGGCCTAGCCAGCCCCTCGTGCCCTATATACTGTTGGATCCCGCAGACATTACCCTGTCTCCTCTCACCTTCTTGTTTTGTGTCTGTTCATGCTCTTGAACCAGAATATGATGGGTGTAGCCTGCAACAACCTAGGTTCTGAGGTGGAGGGTGGACCATGTAAGGGCTCTTTATGATGGTGCTGGACTGTGACCCTTTAGGTCAGGCAACGAACTCCCCCTGGCAGTGGCTTCTACTGCTGACCTGGTACGCTGTAAGCTCTTGGATGTAACTGGTGGCTTGGGCACTGATGAACTTAGACTGCTCTATGGCATGGCATTGGTCAGGTAAGACCTGCATGGGGTAAGGGTAGAGGTGGGCTTTGGGGACAGGAGGCGGGGGAGGCATGTGATAAGCAAAACTTGGTTTCAGGTGTTACCTGAAGCAAAACTCTAATGTGTACCTCAGTGTGGGTCAGCCTGTGATTATTGCTTGACTTAACAGCTTTTGGTACCCTTGTCAACACATTCCTCTTTCCCTTTTTCCTGAAAGCCTTCTCTTCCATTTTTCTTTTCTCTTGGAATGTGGAGGAAGGAATTCAGACCTCGTGATCTGTGTGGATCTCTTGATGGTCTGATATTTTTTCTTACTTTTGAAAAAATATCAGAGGATATTTGTCTGAATGATGTGATGTTCTCTGCCGTGATTTAATGTAGACTTTCCAACCCTGTTCCTGTCTATTCCTAGCACCACCCTTTTCCCCTTCTCCACCCCATGAACACTGAAAGGTTGCTGAGTTGTGGAAGTAGAGACATGGGCTGGGAATTCCTGACTTACAAAGTGGCTCATGGTTCTAGCTGTATACAAACTGGAAAAAAGGTTGCTACTGAGTTTTTGTATCTGTCAAAGTCTTTATCTATTGTTCCTTTTGTTTGCCTTGAGAGCCTCCCTTTCTCTTCTTACTTTCTCCATTGGTTAACTGTGCTCCCCATTGTCCTTTGATGTAGTCCTTTGCAACATTTATAACATATTATGTTCTAGTGTGATATGTTACATTATGTCAGGATTATTTATCCCAGACTGAACTGTTCAAGGCTAGAGCAGTGTCTTATTCACCTGTATGGCTTCGTTATAGGGCAATCTCAGTGAATGTAAGAATAGGACAGGACAGTCAGTGGAAAAGTTGTGGAAATAAATGCAGGGTGTCAGTAACTCAGCAAAGTGTTTAGAATAAAACAGTTCCTTGGGCTGCGCGACTCATTTCTCCCTCAACTCCAGGTTTGTGAATCTTATCTCAGAGAGGAAGACAAAGTTGCTAAGCTCCCCCTCAAGTGTCTGGCTCAAGAGGTACGTATCATACAGTGGCCTTGCTCAATTCTCTCTCCGAGAGGGTTCACCAAATGGGGTGTGGAGTAATGTGGGCACACAGTCAGACTAGCTTATCCCATCATTACCAGCCAAGCCCAGCAAGAATTTCCTCATCTTCCAGCTTGAGGGAAATGCAGTTGCTCCCTTGCTCATGACTGGTATCTCAGAGGGCTTAGCCTGCCCAGCTTGCTGGGAGGATCCCAAATGTAGCATTGGGTGGGGATAGGAAAGAGGTGACAGTCACAGTGCCTGCCCTCAGGGAGGTGACAGTCTGAAAGGAGGAGACAGCCCAGCCACTATGAATCACTTTGTAAGTCAGGAATTCCCATCGCATGTCTCCCACTTCCATAACTCAGACATTCTTGCCTTGAGTCAATATGTGAAGTATACAGAGGCTCACAGGGCAAGCATGTTTTCAGTCATTAGCGCTTCTTGGAGGAGGTGTGTGAGGGAAGCAGGGGTAAAGGATATTCAGGGAGAAGGACAGGGGAGAGGGAGACTGGAGAACATGATTGTTAATGCTCATTCACAGGGATTTCTTTGTTGTAGAAGGGTGGTTGGTGATTAGGGGAGGTGTGTGCCTTTTCTGTTTCTGATTTTCTTTTCTTTTTTTGAGACAGAGTTTTGCTCTGTTGCCCAAGCTGGAGTGCAGTGGCGTGATCTTGGCTCACCACAATCTCCGCCTCCCAGGTTCAAGCGATTCTCGTGCCTCAGCCACCCAAGTAGCTGGGATTACATTTGTATTTTTAGTAGAGACGGGGTTTCACCATCTTGGCCAGGCTGGTCTCCAACTCCTGGCCTCAAATGATCCGCCCGCCTTGGGCTCCCAAAGTGCTGGGATTACAGGCATGAGCCACTGTGCTCAGCCCGCTTTTCTTATTTTCAAGACCTCCTCCATAGAGCAGTAAAAAAATAATCAGGAGAGCTGGTTTTTGATCTTGGCTCTGTCACTATGATTGGAATCTTCTTTCAGGACCTCAGTTTCTCTAGTTATAAATGGGGCAGGGGGTGGTCAGGATAATTCATTCTGGCTCCCTTCCAACTTTAATCTTTTCCTCATTTCTGTACTCACACCTTCTCCTATAATCAGGTAAACATTCCGGATTGGATTGTTGACCTTCGCCATGAGTTGACCCACAAGAAAATGCCCCATATAAATGACTGCCGTAGAGGTGAGTCCTCAGAGGGTATACCTATCACAGTTAAGCCCAGGGGCCTGGGCTTGGTGGCATTGAGGGTAGAGGAATAGGCAGGAGGGTCTCCACCTGGAGTCAGGGCTGGGACTAGGTTGAAAGAAGTAAGGCCCCGCCTTGGGCACAACATTTAAGGTGGGAAGAAGTCAAAAGTTCCATAATCAAGATAAATGACATATTCGTTTAGAAAAATTTATGATAAACACAATATCAATACTTTAAATAAAATAGGGTTAGTATTACTGATTTCTCCTTTTGTTTCAGCTTCCAGCATGACTTGGCAAGGCACTGTTTTGATACTTTGACTACAGAGGTTTTTTCGCCTGCCCTTAAGTTTTTTGTTTTTGGTGTTTTTTTTGAGGACGAGTCTTACCCTGTTTCCCAGGCTGGAGTGCAGTGGTACGATCTCGGCTCACTGCAACCTCCACCTCCCGGGTTCAAGTGATTCTCCTGCCTCAGCCTCCTGAGTAGCTGGGATTATAGACCACACCTGGCTAATTTTTTTTTTTAATGTTTAGTAGAGATAGAGTTTCACCATGTTGGTCAGGCTGGTCTCTTACTCCTAACCTCATGATCTACCCACCTCGACCTCCCAAAGTGCTGGGATTACAGGTGTGAGCTACCATGCCAGGCTGTATTTTTTTTTAGTAGAGATGGAGCTTCATCATGTTTGCCAGGCTGGTCTCAAACTCCTGACCTAAAGTGACCTGCTCACCTTGGCTTCCCAAAGTGCTGGGATTATAGATGTGAGCCACAGTGCCTGGCCACTCCCCTTAAATTTTGTTTCTGAGGTAGTGCCTCATTAGCTTCACATACCTCACCGTACTGGAGGTGGGGAGATTGCCAGGCATGAGTCATCAGAAGTGTCATGAACCCAGGAGATCCTTGGACATCCACCCCATCCCAGTTAAGAATCCTGGATTTAGCCTCACCGTTTGTGATGGGAAAACAGATCTACAAAAGGGGAGACTTAGCCAAGGACATGTAACTAGCTATTGGGGCTGATTCCTACTTCTCGCACTTACCAGCTCCTTGCTGTTTTTGACATCCCATCTCTAAGTGCAATATTAGTTCCTTTCTAGGAAAAATGCTGGTGAACAGGAGAAAGCAAAGAACGGGGGATAACCCAGTGTTAAAGAGGCTGCTTCTGGATATTTGAGATTTGAACTTTGGAGCCGAACCTTTTCCTGGGGCCTTCCTATAATGCCCACAAGATGAGGCTGGAGGCCTGCTAGCTGCCTGCCTGATCCTGTGGCACTGCCTGCCTTCCCTCTTCTAGGCTGCTACTTTGTCCTGGATTGGCTCCAGAAGACCTATTGGTGCCGCCAACTGGAGAGCAGCCTGAGAGAGACCTGGGAGTTGGAGGAGTTCAGGGAAGGGATAGAGGATGAGGACCAAGAGGAAGATAAGAACATTATTGTCGATGACATCACAGAACAGAAACCAGAACTTCAGGACAATGGGAAAAGTGTGGAGTCAAATGTAAAGGCCGACGGAGACAGCAAAGGCAGCGAAGAGATGGATTCTCATTGCAAAAAGGCCCTGAGTCATAAAGAGCTATATGGTAGGTGTTTTGGAGGGCAGAAAGGGGCCCATGAGCCCAGAAGGCTCAGGCTTAGAGTTAACACTGTGTATTTCCCTGGCTCAGCATTTCCTCTGGGGCCTGTGGTGAGTCTTAGCTTAAACAGTTACTGTCACAAACCATCTTCCTGGCTTGTTTTCGTAGTATAGTGACACATTCACCTCACAAACCATCTTCCTTGAGCCCTGTGAAGTAGGTGGAGAAGGAATTCTAGTTTCCCAGTTATAACTCAAGAAATGAGGTGAAGCTAGGTGCAGTGACTCACACCTAAAATCCCAGCACTTTGGGAGGCCAGGGCGGGCAGATCACCTGAGGTGAGGAGTTTGAGACCACCCTGACCAGCATGGAGAAGCCCCGTCTCTACTAAAAATACAAAATTAGCTGGGCATGGTGGTGTACGCCTGTAATCCCAGCTACTTGGGAGGCTGAGGCAGGAGAATCACTTGAACCCGGGAGGCGGAGGTTGCGGTGAGCTGAGATCGTGCCATTGCACTCCAGCCTGGGCAACAATAACGAAACTTCATCTCAAAATAAAACAAAACAACAAAAAAGAAATGAGGTGAGAGAGGCTCAGAATCCCAGCTGGAACAGGGGTATGGGCTGGCAGTCCTATCTGTCTCCCCCCTTCTGTTTCAGAAAGAGCCCGAGAACTGCTGGTATCATACGAAGAGGAGCAGTTTACGGTAAGAAAGTGCCCTGGACCTGGTGTGTGCTCTTATCTGCCCCAGCCATTTCTTCCCTCTTGCCAGCTACCTGAGAGAAGTCTTGAGAAGGAATTTGAAAGAAAAGTGACAAAGCGTGAGGGAACTTCTCGGAAAGAGAGAGGGGGGAACTAGGAAGGAGGCAAGAGGAGCAGAGTCCAATTGGCTGATCCTCCACACCGATGAAGGGAGCAGTTGAAGTTTGCGGATAATCTGCCCTACTGGGTGGTAGGGAACAACTGGAATGGGTAGTTGCACAGCCCTGCAATTCTGCAGCTGACCATTAGATGGGGCCCAGGAGCTTCCTTAAATTGGGTGAGCTGGAGGGGTGCTGTTTTTAGTAGAAAAGGAGGTAGTTCAGAAACCATTTAGCTCAGCTCTCCCTTTTCACAGATTAAGAAGTTGAAGCCATGGATGAGTGGAGGGAGTCACATACAGTTAATGATAGAATCAGGATTAGAACTTGGATCTCTCAGTTATCTTCTGTAACTCATTACCTCCCCTCATCCTTGGCCCTATGGCCCAAGAGTCTCTATCTCTAGCCCAATTCCTCCACTGAACATCTCAGTATTTACCCACAGGAAATTCACCTGGGGGAGGGGGAAGAGGGAAGGGAGGGAAAAGGAGGAGAAGTCTTGCATTTGAGAGTCAGGCTATTTTTAGTAGCAAGACCAATAAGGGAGTTACCCCTGCATGCCCTGTCCTGTCCCCTGCAGGGTAGTGCTGAGAGGTCCTATGGGAAGGGATCCTGGAGGGGTGGAGGTGCGTTGCTTGGCTGAACCAGCCTTCTGATGGGACCCTCTTTGCTGGCAGGTGCTGGAGAAATTTAGGTATTTACCTAAGGCCATTAGGCGTGGAATAACCCGTCCCCACGTGTAGAATGTGTCCTGGCAGAGCTCAAGGGCGTTACATGCGAGAACAGGTGTGTAACTAGGTAACTGGGAGCTTGCGTATTCTCTAGGATAGAGGGTAGCACCCTCTTGAAATCGGTTTCCATATCCTAGCTTGCCATTCTCCTGTATAGAATCCCAGGGGTAATCCTGATTTCCCTCCACAGTGACCCCACATTTGGTGGAACCATCTGCCCTCAACCCTGCCAACTTCCAGGTGAGGGTTGCCTATACTAGAATGGCAAAAGGCAGGAATGCCCACTATTATTCATCTTCTGGCCAGCTGTTTTCCTGTCAGGTGGCATATGGAGCTCTTGAAACTAGAAAAATCCCTTGATAATTACACTGCCTAGCCCTTGTCCAAGTTTGAGGTAAAAGATAATGGTGGGCACTGCTAGTCTTGCCTTTTTTTTTTTTGAAAAAAAAAACAGTCTTGCTCTGTTGCCCAGGTTGAAGTGCAGTGGAGCAGTCTCAGCTCACTGCCACCTCTACCTCCCAGGTTCAAACGATTCTTCTGCCTTAGCCACAAGAGTAGCTGGGACTACAGACATGAGCCACCACACCCAGCTATTTATATATTTTCAGTGAAGACAGGGTTTCACCATGTTGGCCAGGCTGATCTCGAACTCCTGGCCTCAAGTAATCTGCCCCTCTGGGCCTCTGAAAGCGCTGGGATTACAGGCATGAGCCACTGCACCTGACCTTTTCTCTTTTTTTAACAGTAGGGTCTTGTTCTGTCTCCCAGACTGGAGTACAGTGGTGCAAACATACCTTACCACAGCCTCAACCTCGTGGGCTCAAGAGATCCTCCCACCTCAGCCTCCTGAGTAGCTAGGACCAACAGGCATGCACTACCACATCCAGCTTTTTTTTTTGAGATGGAGTTTCGCTCTTGTTACCCAGGCTGGAGTGTTACCCAATTCTCCTGCCTCAGCCTCCCGAGTAGCTGGGACTACAGGCGCGCGCCACCATGCCCAGCTAAGTTTTGTCTTTTTAGTAGAGACAGGTTTCACCATATTGACCAGGATGGTCTTGATCTCTTACCTCGTGATCCACCTGCCTCGGCCTCCCAAAGTGCTGGGATTAGAGGCGTGAGTCACCGCGCCCGGCTCTAATTTTTAAATTTTTTGTAGAGTTGGGGTCTCAATTATGTTGCCCAGGCTGGTTTCGAGTTTTTGGGTTCAAGAGATTGTCCTGCCTTGGCTGCCCAAAGTGCTAGGATCACAGGTATAAGCCACTGCAGCCAGCCTGGTCTTTTTTTTTCTTCTTTTTCTTGAGATGGAGTCTTGCTCTGTCAGCCAGGCTGGAGTGCAGTGGCGCGATCTCAGCTTACTGCAATCTCCGCCTCCTAGGTCCAAACAATTCTCCTGCCTCAGCCTCCCAAGTAGGTGGGATTACAGGCGTGTACCACCACACCTGGCTATTTTGTATTTTTTTTTTTTTTTTAAGACGGGGTTTTACCATGTTGGTCAGGCTGATGTTGAACTCCCTACCTCAGGCGATACGCCCGGCCTAATTTTGTATTTTTGGTAGAGATGGGGGTTTCTCCACGTTGGCCAGGCTGGTCTTGAACTCCTGATCTTGTGATCCACCCGCCTCTTGGCCTCCTAAAATGCTGGGATTACAGGCATGAGCCACCACACCTGGTCTTTTTTTTTTTTTTTTTTTTTTTTTGAGATGGAGTTTCGCTGTCACCTTGCAGTGCAGTGCAGTGGTGCAATCTTGGCTCACTGTAACTCTGCCTCCTGAGTTCAAGCAATTCTCCTGCCTTGGCCTCTCGAGAAGCTGGGACTACAGGCACACACCACCATGCCCAGCTAATTTTTATATTTTTAGTAGAGATGGGGTTTTGCCACATTGGCCAGGCTGGTCTGGAACTCCTGGCCTCAGGTGATCTGCCTGCCTTGGGCTCCCAGAGTGCTGAGAATACAGGCGTGAGCTACCATGCTTGGCCTGATGTTTTCTTTTCATCTGCCATTGGGAAGGTATTTGCATCCCTTGGATAGTCATGGTTATGGGAACAGAGGCGGGACCTTCTCAGAGTCTGGCTCCTAGAGACTAAGTTCTTACTCTCTCAAGTATGGTTGTGGCCTTTTTTCCAAAACAAAGTGCTCAGCTCAGTCCAGAGTGGGCACATAGTATGTCTGCCCATTCTTCTTTTCTCCACAGCTCTTGAGGGCTTTCTAACTAAAAAGGGCTTTGGGAGACTTTCCACTAAGAACCTATGGAGGCAGTGGTAAACCTCAGCTAGAGAGAAGCTGGAGAGTGTAGGTAGGTGGTAGGTGGCAGAGTAAGCCTGGGTGGCAACCTGCAGTGTAGGCTGTGATTGCCTCTGGAGTCTTCTTTTCATGTCCGGGATACTAGTTCCAAAAGTATTTTATCAGTGTTTGCCTAGCCTAGGTTTCTTGGCTCCACCCTTCAGCAAAGGGGTGGGTGGTGGCTTCATTAGCAGCTGGAAAAACTATGCCCCTAACATAGTAGTGTTTGCCTGGTAATGCTGGAGGGAGGGATCTAAGTATGTCAACTTTACAGGCATTAGGACACCTTGGGAGCTCTTTTTTCTGCATCTAGGCTTGGTCAGCTAGGAGAATGTCTGTGTCTGTTTAGTGTTGCTATAAAGAAATGCCCGAGGCTGGTTGATTTATGAAGAAAAGAGGTTTGTTTGACTCATGCTTCTGTATCTTGTACGAGAAGCATGATGCCAGCATGTACTTCTGGTGAGAGCTTCAGGCTGCTGCTTCCGCTCATGGCAGAAGGCAAAGGGGAGCCCACGTGTGCAGTGATCAAATGGCAAGGTGGAAGGGGAGATGTCAGGCTCTTTTTAACAACCAGGTTTTGCAGAATCTGATAGAACAAGAACCTGATACTGTGGGAACAGCACCAAGTCATTCATGAGGGATCTGACCCAATGACCCAAACCCCTTCTACAGGCACCATGGTCAACATTGGGGATCAAATTTCAACATGAGATTTGGAGTGGATAAACATCCAAACTGTAGCAGAGAGCCTCTTGGGAAGCCACTGATTCTGGAGGAATCACTTGCTGTTGCTGGTGTAGGTTTGAGCTAGTAACCCATTTATGCTGGAGGTTGCACATTGTTTTGTGTGTGAAAGATCACACTTTGGTAAAGACCTTAAGCAATAGGATAACTCTCACAGTCTTAGCATTCCAATAATGGAACACTAGGCATAAATGGGCTAATAGATAGGAATGAGAGATTACCCCTATAGCCTACTCCTGCAACATCTCTTACTTTGTTCTAGGTTTTTAAATCCACTAGTAATAAGGTATATGGACCATATTTGGTCTAGCAGTTGGGTCCCCAAGGTTTCTGCTTCTAGGATCTAAAAGAAGGTAGCCAAGGAGGAGAGATGGGGTAGGGTACTGGAGAATCATCAAGAGAAACAGACTGCAAGAACTGAGTCTAAAAGTCCTTGACCTCATGATCCCAGGCATTGAATTCCTTCCTCTGTGGATGTGAAACTTTTTTCTATTTGTGTGTTGAAGTGTATTTGGACACTACTTCCCTCATTATGGGATATAGATCGGCATTAGTGCTTGGTAAACACTTGTTCAAAACCCACTGATCCCAGCCTGTAGCCAGCCCCTGCCCAAGGAGGCTGAAGCCTAAGATCCAGTTGTCAACTCCCTTCCTCACCGCTCCTACCCACCCACCACCTTTCTCCCTATGCTGCTTTGGCTCCTTGAGCCAGATGCATTAGCTACTTTGGGGGTGGGTAGAGGAGTAGGAGGTCTTCTGCCAGCATTACTCTGCTAAGCTAGTGTTCTCTTGTTCCAGGGAGGCTGTGCTGGATGCTTTTCTGGACGATGGCTTCCTTGTCCCCACATTTGAACAGTTGGCAGCTTTGCAGATAGAGTATGAAGGTAGGGTTCTGGGGGCTCACTGCAGCCTTAGGGTTCTGTTTTCTGGGTGTGAACACCTGGGGTGGGCTGGGGGCCCTGGACTGGGGTGTGAAGGCTGTTTCTCTATGGCCTCTGGAAGCCCCTCACCCTACCTGGCTGAGCAGAACAGGTAGCCCCACTGGCAGTTGTGGGCTGTCCTTAAGTGGTCTGGAATGGGAAGGGGTGGGATGGGGTGGGGGTGGGGGAGTCTTAATCACATTGTTGTGCCGTGTTCCTTGTGATTTAGCTGCTAGCTAGAGAGCTAGAACAGCAGAATTGGAGGGGCCTTGTGAGGTCATCTAGTCTAACATCCTCATGTTACAGATGGTCAGACTGAGGTCCAGAGAGGGGAAGGTACTGACCCAAAGTCACACAGTGAGTTATTGACAAAGCTGAAGCTAGAACCAGAGCTCTGTTTTGTTTATACTTTATTTTGAGTCAGTTGTTGGTTGCCAGATACTAACTGGTTTCTCTCTCCCTGCTGTTCTACTCTCCTCTTTTCTTTGTTCTGCGGTGGCAACTCTGTTGTCGGTGGGGGGCTTGGCTCATGCGCGCGCACACATTCTCTTGCTCTCACTCTCACTTCCTTTCTCTTGCTGTCTCTTGCTCTCTCTTTCGTGCTCTCTTGCTCTCTCCCTCCTATTGCCCCCCCCCAAATGGGTGTCCCTTACAAACCAGAAAACGTGGACTTGAATGACGTCATGGGTGCCAAAGCCGTTCTCTCAGTTCTGGCAGCCCCTGCTCAGGGGCCTGCACTCCCAGAACTTCACGCAGGCCCTGTTGGAGAGGATGCTCTCTGAACTGCCAGCTTTGGGGATCAGCGGGATCCGACCTACCTACATCCTCAGATGGACCGTTGAACTGATCGTGGCCAACACCAAGACTGGTGAGGGAGACTAGCCCTAGCTGTAGGGCCTAAGGCAGCCCAGGCAGGAGCCGCTGCCACTGTCCTCAGCTCTGCTAAGAAGCACCAGGCAAACACCTCCTGTGTTAAAGGTTTAGCTTTGCCCAAGAGGGTCCTGCAGCAGCAGTGGACAAATCTCCCTTTTCCTTTTCTTCTCAGAGCCAACTAAACTGGGCTGAATGCTTTGAGCAGTTGGGAGGTATAGGTGGGGAGTCTGGGGGGATGGGGAGGGACAGAGCCAAACTTTCTGAGGTGAAATATTGGGTGGGGGGGGCTCACTGCTTCCTTCTCCTTAGGTCCTCTTTTCTCTCTCAGGACGGAATGCTCGCCGATTTTCTGCAGGCCAGTGGGAAGCAAGAAGGGGCTGGAGGCTGTTCACCTTCTCTGCCTCCCTTGACTGGCCCCGGATGGTTGAGTCCTGCTTGGGCTCACCTTGCTGGGCCAGCCCCCAACTCCTTCGGCTGTAAGTCTCTTGAATTCCATCCGGTAAGAGGGTGAGGCTTTGAAAGCCTCAGGGCCACACAACCCTAGAATGACTGAGTTGGAAGGGCCCTTTGGGGACAATCTAGCCCAGTCTCACTCCCACTGACAGATGGGAGCACTGAGTCCAGAGAGGGGAGGGGTAGGGTTTTCTTCCCTAAGATCATACAGCTTAAGACCTGACTAAACTGAGTCCAGTGTGGGAATGGATAAGACAATCCCCCTAGAGTGCTTAGCACAGTGGCCTGCACAGAGTAAGTGCACAATAAATGGTAGCTGCTGTTTATTATTGAACCCAGGTCTTCTGACTCCATGCCCAGTGCCGTTTCCTCTATTATCTTTCCAAAGTATACCTCTGATAGTTGCTTAGCAACCTTCAGTTGCTCCCTATTGCCTTCCTGTTAAGTCTAGGCTTCTTAGCCTGACATTCAAAGATCTTTCTGATTCTGGCCCAACTTACCATGGTAGCCATACCTCCTGTGAGTCTCCTTTACCCCATCCACCCTGGGTTCTGTGGTCAAACTGAATATTGCTCTGGTAAATACCTGTGGTTGTCTCCCTTTCCTTTCCTCCGTCATTTTCTGACCCTGAGCCACTTCCTTCATAATCATGGAAGCCTTTAGCACCTGATTCCCTTCTTGCTTTCTGAAGCAATATCTATTTCATTTGAATGACTCATCTGACACTCTGCAGCTCCTCAACTCCAGTGACTTTCATTCTCCACTACACTCAGCAATTCATTTCCATCATTCGGAGCTGTTCCACCTCTGAAAGCTGACATCCCAGCATCCCACTCGATGACCACCACTTCTCGTCCTTCTAGTTCTCACCTTTACATCCCATGACATCTGCTCTTTGCCTGCATCCAGATCTCCATCCCTCCATTTCCTGCATCCCTTGACCTTGCTTCCCCTCTATCCTGTCTGTGGTTGCTCAGTTCAGCCACTCATCATCAGCACGTTCAGCTCTGCCCATCCTTTGGCCATATCTGACTTGCAAACCCCTGAGCTGGAATTGATCCTCCCCATTCTGCTTCCCCTGCTCCTCAGCCCGGGTAGCTGAGCTCTGCTGGAGAAAACCACATAGCCCTGCGGATTGCTGCCACTGCAGAGGTAGGATTTTTAATCTCGGGCGAGGCCTCAGTTCTGCTTGTCTGAACTTGTACTTGTTTTCTGACCACTTTCTCTCCCATTTCCTTACTATTCTAAACCCTTACCGCTCACCTCAAGCCCCACCCCTTCTCCCATTTCACCCTAGCTTCCTCGAGCACATGGAGGCATCCGGCAGGGCCCCCTCGACCTGAGGTCCAGCCCTCGTGAACTGATCTGCGGCTGCACTCAACCTCGCGAGTCTCAGGATGAGGTGGCCTAGCCCCACCTCAAAGCCTGCTCCTCCACCTGTGCTCTGGAGCCACCTCTGCCAGCATCGCTGGGGCCTCACCCCAGCCTCTACCTTGCTCTGCTGGCTCTTGCTCTTCAACCTAGGAACGTGCCTGAGCTTTTTTCATCTTAAAACAAAACAACAACAATAGCAGCAACACAAGCAAAATCTCCTTTGACCCTGCATCCCTCTGTTGGGTTATCATCAGCTTGTCATTCCCTCCCTTCCCATCAAAACATCTCAGAACAGTAGTCTACACACAGCATTCTCCATTTCCTCACTACCCTCTTACTCCTCAACCTGCTGCAATTTGGCATTTACCCCCCGAGTTGCTTTGACCTCCTAATTACCAAATCAGTGGACCCTTGTCAGTCTCTGTGCCTGCTGCATTGATGCTGTTTACCACCCCCTCCTTGACAAATGCCTGTGCTTATTACTAGTTCCTGTAAAGTGCTGAGGCCCAAATCTCTGTCTAGCCCTGGCCCTTCCCCCAAGATTTAGCCTCCTGTACTCAACTGCACGTCAGACATCTCCCCTTGGATGGCCCACAGGCGCCTTACTGTGACCAAAAGAGAATTGGTCATCTTAGTCTTCATCTCAACTCTAAAGTGATCTTCCTCCTCTGTTCCCTATCTCACTTGGTGGCAGCACCATCTCCCCTGTCCTGTTAACTCTCGAATACTTCCAAATCTGAGGTTTTGTGTTGCCGTGTCTACTTCCCCTAGTGTCTCCTTCCCTCTATCAGACTAAGCTTTACAAGGGCAAGGACTCTGCATCAGCTGTCTGTGCCCCAGCACACCACACAAGTCTAGGCACCGAACAGGCCTCAGTAAATGTCATTGAATTGAACCGTGCTCTGCTCTCTCATTCCCAGCAGTGCTGTCCTTGGTGGGAGCTGACCCAGTGCCTGGGGGAATGAATGAAGTGGGAGTCTGGATGCCAAGACTCTCTTAGTCCCTGATCCCCCTATTGAGTCCAAAAGTCTTTCTTTAACCCTGATGGCATTTGGGACACAGAGGTATTTGTAAGATTTACAAAGTGGCTTTGTAGACGAAGTCAGTCAAGGCAAGACTTCCAGGAGATGGGACTGAACAGCCACATTGCCAGATGTGTGTGCTCTAGACTAGAAGTGACCTGGATGGGTGGGAAATTGGGAGGAGAACCAAAAGGGCCTAGAGGAGTCATAAAGAGTTTCAGAGAGGAGGCATTTGAACAATTCAAGCAGGAGAAAGAATAAAGGGAGTTTCAAAGTCCAGAAGGAACATGGCATGTGTATGTAATGGGAGGGAGGGAGTGACAAGAGCAGCATGGAGAGGTTTGGATAGGTGGCCTTCAAGGTACTTTCCAATCCTAAGTGCCTGCAGAGTGGAAGCTGCTGGTCTCGGAGAAGTCTGGACCACAGAGATCTTCTCCCAACCCAAGCATACCAGAGGGATGCGACACATGCCAGCAGTAACAGCGGCTCACTTGGGTACGATTCCTTGTGCTCAGATCCTGCCTTTCCCAGATAAGCAGTGAATCTAGTCCTAATCACCCCATTACACAGAGCGGGAAATAGAGGGGTTTGCCCAGGTATTATGCTGCAAGTCAGAGCTGGGGCCAGAATCCAGATAGCCTCTCCTTAGACCCATGCTCTTCTGTAATACTCCACTAGATTGTATTATTGCAGAAAGCATCTTTTAAACACAGAACTTGGCTGTTGTTTTCCCCAGAGAAAAAATAAAAGAAACTATTGGAAATTAAGTGTCAGGCATGGTGCTGTGTTTTTTTGTAGAGGTTAATTTCATTTACTTTGACACAGCAGTCTTGGGAGGTGGAAGTATTATATAGTATACCCTATTTGACAGATGAGACATTGAGGCTCTAAGGAGTGATGGGACTTACCTAACACATTTGTTGATGGTGGGACAGGGATCTTGGCCCAGGTGGTGTGAGCCCAAAGTCCACCTTCATTCCATCAGCCTGAACCTGTGACTTTATCAGCCCTGAGCTATGACCAGGCATACCTGAGGAAGGGGGTGTATTTTAAGATTCGCATCACCCCTGCATCTTAGTGGTCAGACTAGAGAGCTCGAGATAGCAGTGGGTAATCATAACCACGGCTGATAAGGCATTTTGCCACTATCAAGTGCCTGGAGATATTTATTAATCATACTAATGGACCACCATGAGAGGACAAAGTTTCTCTCTGGCTTTTCCTCTGATGGAGTTGGAAGCTTTTCAAGCTCTTTCCCCAGCCTGTCAATATCAATTTAATTTGAGCCACTATCCTCTAGGAATATGAAATTGGGTCCGTAGACAGGATCTCCCAGTCAAGTCATCAGCCCCCCAGCCCTGCCCCCACCGACCAGTGACTATGCATATGTGACCAGTCTGCATGTGCCCAGAGAGAAAACAGCCTGCTGAGCATATGGCCCATCTGTGAACCATCCGCATCCATCCGTGCCTGGGTGCCTGTTAGGTGCCCAGTTTTATGTGAGGCTCTGCGAGGGGTGCTCACCCTCTTCTCCCCTCGAGCTCCCCTTCCCAGCAGCTCTGTATCTGTTGGTGGTTTTGCTGTTAGCGCCGTCTTTTGTGTGCACAGTGTCATCATCTTTAACTCTGCCTGACCCCTGCCATCAGTCACCAAGCCCTGCTCTCTGTCTGTCTGTGTGTCCTTCACAGCTCCACTCCCTCCCATCTCCACTGCCAGTGCCCTAGGTCAGCCCTTCCTGACTCTGGCCTGAACTGTCAGAGCAGGCTCCTCCCTGGTCTCCCTGCCTCCAGGCTGCCTGTCCAGGCCAGCTCCCACATGGCCAGCCTCCACATGGTCACCATGGTGATCTTCAGAAACGTAGCCTTCACGTGTACTCAGAATTGGCAGGAGACCCCTCACACACACACCAGTGCACACAATTACCTTCCCAGCCCTCTCTTCCTCCCACGGCTCCTCAGCACAGGCTCTGACCTCTAGCTGGGCTGCTCTCACTGCACGCAGCAGCACCGTGTGCTTGCTCTTGTCTCTGGGCTTCCTGGGCCCTACCTCCTGCACGATGCCCTCCCTTGGTCTTTCCTGCCCTCCTCATGCTCTCTGTCTCCCTCAGCCCCGCAGTGCCTACAGTAGGTTTGCAGTGCTCATCTGGCCTCCCTCCCACATCCTGCTTTGTCTTGTCAGCTGCTGCTTTTTTTTTCTTTTCCTCCATTCCAGGCTGGGCTGTAGCTGCTCCCATAAAAGGATCACACTTTGTGTTCCACGCAGAAGGAGCCCAGAACACTTCCAGGCATATCCTTGGAGCTCAAGACAGGTTGTTCAGCTAGGCCAGAGAAGAGAGGGATCTGCTCATTTCCAGCCCTGCAGGCCTGTTGGCTGTTTCGTGTATTTATGTAGCTTTTAAGTGCAGACTAATAGCTATCATTTATTGCATGCCCACTATGTGCCAGGCACTGTGCCAGGCATTCTATGTGAGCTTTCTTATTTACTTCTCCCAACAATCCTATACATTAGGTATCATTATTGTCCTCATTTTACCTGAGAATGGAAGTGAGGCACAGAGATGAACCACAGAGCTTGTTCGGGGTCCATGGTCCTGTTGTTTCTATGTTCTGTCTGCTCTACTGCACTGCCTTTCAGAGGCAGGTCTGGAAGTTCAGAGACCAAGTTTAAACCCTGGAGTGTTGGGGTATGAAGTGACTTGAGATTTTGAATCTTTCCTACCCCATCCCTCCCTTTGCTCAGCATCTTCAAAGCCATGGGGCAGGGCCTGCCAGAGGAGGAGCAGGAGAAGCTGCTGCGCATCTGTTCCATTTATACCCAGAGTGGAGAAAACAGCCTGGTGCAGGAGGGCCCTGAGGCCTCCCCCATTGGGAAATCTCCATATACACTAGACAGCCTGTGTTGGACAGCCAGCTCCAGCTTCGGGTCTGAAGGAAAGGGCCAGCAGCAGGAGGAGCAGGGCAGTGTTAATGATGTCAAGGAAGAAGAAAAGGAGGAGAAAGAGGTCTTGCCAGACCAGGTAGAGGAGAAGAAAGAAAATGATGACCAGGAAGAAAAAGAGGATGAAGATGACGATGAAGACAACGATGAAGAAGAAGAGAGAATGGAGGTGGGGCCTTTCTCCACAGGGCAAGAGTCCCCCACTGCCGAGAATGCTAGGCTTCTGGCCCAGAAAAGGGGAGCTTTGCAGGGCTCTGCGTGGCAGGTTAGCTCAGGTAAGAACTACTTTGTCCCCACACGAACTTTTTTTTCTCTATGGCTGGCTCTTGAGGCTTCATTCTACCCTAGGAAGAGATGAAAAGTAGCAGGCGATAGCCAATGTGAGGCAAGCCTGGAAGGCAGCCTGGTGTATAGATGACAGCTGGCTTCTTCCCCCTCTTAGGATGGAGCCTGTGAGTGCCAGGGACCACTGTCAGGCTGCTGGCTACCTCATATAAAGAGCACATTCTGAGAGGATGAGATAGGAGTGAGCCCTGGGCAGTAACATAGAGGCAGAAGATAGCAAGTAGGGAGTGTGTATATGGTTCTGCACATGTTTTTCATGTGCAGTGAGAGTGCTTTCTGTGTATGTGTGTGTGTGCCTGGAGGCTGGCTGGTGGTGAGATAAGATTTTGCTGTGTATATTAGAAAGATGGAGACTACGGCGTTAAGTCAGAGAAATAGGAAGTGAGATCACAAGAGAGAATAAGGAGTGCTGTGGTTTTTAGGTGAGCATACAAATTAGCGAAACCAAAGCCAAGAGGCTGCCGCAGGAGGGTTAGTGATAGGGATCTGCTCTTCATTTTGAGTACTTGCTTAGGTTAATGAGCAGGAACCTCCAAGGCCTTAGATCCAGAATGAATGACAGAACAGTGTGGTGTATGTGTGCTGAAGCCTGGGGAGGGAGGGAGAACAGCTGGGCCTGTGTGATGTGGGGTGGGCAGTGGCAGAGAGTGAGAGGAGAGGCAGTAAATGAGATTATGGCGAAAGAAACTATGGCCTTTGTTTGCCCTCGTATGGAAGGGGTGGAAGGGCTGGAGCATAAAGTCTGTCTCTCTCTGTGTGTGTATGTGCATGTGCCTGTAGCTAGCTGCTGGTCAAACCATGGCCCAGTGACAAATAACTTAGGACAAGGAGGGCTGTGTTGGGACACCTTTGCAAATATTGAAAGGGTGGGGCATTGACATCAGCAGAGTGTGTGTGTGTGTGTTTGTGTGTGTGTGTGTGTAGGAAAAAGGGAAAAGTAGGGGCAGTTAAAGTAGAAGTCATGGCCAAGTAGGCTGTCATGCAGCTTTGTGAAGAGGAGGCAGAGTGGCTGAGATCCAAGAGGGCTAAGGTATTTGTGTAAGAGAAGTGATAGCATTGAGGTTGGCGTCTATGGAGGGGTAGTGGGAACAAGCATTGAGATATAGCCATTCAGAGGTGGCCTGTATGTTTGCTCTGTCACTGGGAACATGTACAAAGGTATCAGGCTAAAGAGGCAGGGTCAGTGATATAGACAGCATTGGGGATGTTAGTGATGACAGGGATGATCAGGTCAGCAACAGAGCCTATGTAGGTAGTGGCCCATGTGCACAAAGGTTTCTCTGTATCATGGAGTAATGCAGGACATTACGACAGGCACAACTTTCAGTTAGAGAGCCAGGGGAGGTGGATGGGCAAGTAGAACAGTCCTTCCTGAGGAACTCTGAGTTACATAAAAAGTTGGTCCAAGGTTGACACGTTACAGAATGCCAGGGGCATTATCTTTGAGTACCAGGAAGATGCAGAAGACCAGAAACAGAATCTTTGTGGAATGCACTAGTGAAAGCTTCATTTGAAAACGCTGAATGCGGCCGGGCGCAGTGGCTCAAGCCTGTAATCCCAGCACTTTGGGAGGCCGAGGCGGGTGGATCACAAGGTCAGGATATCGAGACCATCCTGGTCAACATGGTGAAACCCCGTCTCTACTAAAAATACAAAAAATTACCTGGGCATGGTAGCACGTGCCTGTAATCCCAGCTACTCAGGAGGCTGAGGCAGGAGAATTGTCTGAACCCAGGAGGCAGAGGTTGCGGTGAGCCAAGATCGCGCCATTGCACGCTAGCCTGGGTAACAAGAGCGAAACTCCATCTCAAAAAAAAAAAAAAAGAAAAAGAAAACGCTGAATGTATTTGTGGAAGGATGGGGAGGGAGATTTAATATAATAATGTGTGGTAGGTGTCTCAGTGATAGGAAAGGGGTGAAGGGGGATGCCCAGCCTCCCCATCCTAAAGGGAGCATCTGTATGTGGGGGGGATGTGAGTTGGAATGTAGAAAGTCTAGAACGTTGAGTCTTTTCCTCTCCTTTGCCATTGCTTCTTCTGTGTGTACCCATGTGTGGGGAGGTAGGGTCAGGAAGATTCCTGGTTGTATGCCAGTGAATGAGAGGTGTGGGAGGGAGGGAGTGAATGGGAGGGACAGTCACTGAGTGAAGGGCATATATATGTGTGCTTCTGTATACATACTTGGGTGGCTGTGAGGGGTAGGATGTGTAGTGAGACAGCCCTTCACTAGAAAACGGGTATACCTTTTGCATCTTGGGACAAGAACTGCAGGGGGTCGGGGAACATTATCTCGGAGTCCACCGAGATGGGCATGGTGGGGTGTGTGTATCTCTGCATTAAGAAAATACGTGGTATTCAAACAGGCAATGGAGTATGTGTGTAGATGTGTAGGAAATCTAGGGCATTCAGATACTTTGAGTTATTTGTGGGTTTAGCGGAGGGTGCTGTGGGAATTCAGGGACATCCAGACCCTCCATGATGTGTGTGTGTGTGTGCATGTACGTGTACAGGCAGGGAAATAGGGGTGAGGATGAGAAGTTGAAGAGTGATACGACCAGGTCTGAAGATATTGTTTGTGTCTGTGTGGGAACATGCCTGGGGAAGTAGGAAAAGAGCAAAGAGGAACAAAAATGTCTGTAGTTGTATACTATATATAAACACACAGGGCAAGAAGGACCATAAAGAATGTGTGTTGAAGCACTCTGGTGGAGAAGGACTCATGAGAAATGATACCAAGAGCAGTGAAGCTGGAGATCCTTAGAGAGCCCACCCGTGCTAAGTGGGGTGGGTGGATAGACAGGGTGAGCAGGCCTGTGCATCAGTTGGAGAACCAGCTCATCAGCCCAGTCTTGCCACTTCCCTTTGCTCCACAGAAGACGTACGATGGGACACATTTCCCCTAGGCCGAATGCCAGGTCAGACCGAGGACCCAGCAGAGCTCATGCTGGAGAATTATGACACCATGTATCTTTTGGACCAGCCTGTGCTAGAGCAGCGGCTGGAACCCTCAACATACAAGACTGAGTGAGTGCCCATGGCAACAGGATTTCTCACCCCCTTTTCTCTGCCACCTGTGAGAGGGTGGGGGAGGTGGCTGGCCACCAGCTCTCCCTGTCCCTAGTGTGGGGAGCCAGTGAAGTAGCCACACACAGCTGGCTTGGCATCCTTCTCAGATTCCATTCAGTTTGTGCTTGTGGATGGACGTGTGTGTGTGTATGTATGCGTGCACATACACGTGCACTCATTTTGGAGGAGGAGAGTCCATAGCTTTCAGCCGATTCTCTTAACTGGTCTACCACTTCTAAAAGGTCAAGAATAGATGCTGTCATCCAGCTTTTTCATGTTACTGAGGAGAAAACTGAGTCCCAGAAAAGGGAAGGGATTTGTCCAAAGGTGCACAGAGTAATCAGTAGGCCTCCCCGCATTGTCCAGGCCCCTTGGTAGCAAGGCCTGTATAGGGCTCTGTGCTCTCCCTCAAAACTCACCTCTGGATCACAGGTGTGGGAGCCCTTGGGTCACCAGGGAGCCAGGAATCAAGCAGCCCTTGCTGAGTGGCTATGCTGGTAACAAAGGAGCCCATCCAGAGGGCCTGTACATTCCAGAATGCTGGGCCATTCTGACTATGAGACTCCTTGTGAGTGCCAGAGAAGAACCCCTACAGGCCCCTGAAACTAAGTCTTTCCCTTTGCTGCCTGCCCACTCCCAGGGAGATGAGCCCCTCTTAGATCCCAGGGCCCCAGAAACAGGCCAGATCAGAGGCAATGCCATGGATTCTGTCCAAGGCCATGGCAGCAGGCCTCTTGGAGAGAAGAGGGCAGCAGCTGGGGAAACCAGATCTGTAGTGGGAATGGGATTCTCATGTCTGAGAGAGAGGTCCCTTTCCCCTCCTTCCCAACCAACCTGGCCCTGGGTAAGGGTGGCTCATTGAGGACCAGGAAGGAAGCAGATTCAGCCCACCTCCCATACCCTCTATAGTATGGAGGTTTTCCTCTGCTGGGGAGGGGCATGCCCACCCCGACTCCTTGTCTCAGCTCCACCCCTGACTTGGCTATGTGGCCGTGGGCAAATCCATTCCCATCTCTGGGCCCTCAGTTGACTTGTCTGTAAGATTGTGGGTAATGGGAGGTGGTGGGACAAGATCATCTGTAAGAGTTTTTTTTTTAGCTGCAGTAGTGTAACCATGGATCTGCCTGAGGAAGAATGATGGCGTTGCTCTCAGCTGTCACTCTCACCCAGCTGCAAGGACCTTGACCTGCAGGAAGCAGGGGAAGCAAGAGGTGTATTAGCAGGGCCAGGGAGAAGGAGGGCAGAAGCCACCCTCCCTAAAGCAATCTTGCAATCATGGCCTAGGCTTATAGCTCAGTCCTGGCCTTGGGACCCTTAACTAGCTATTGGGTGTGGGAGGAATCCAGCGTGAGTTTCCCTGGCCCCCAAGCTCTAGGGCTTTGAAAGGAGGCCCTGTTAAGGCAGCTACTTTCACTGTCTTGGGAGTGGGGTGGTGTGGGGCCCCTCCCCTCCCTCAACCCAAACGCTTTGCTTTCATCTAGTTTATGTACTAGGGCTCTGCATAAAGCTTTGTTTGAAAAGTTCCTTGCCTCCTTCCCTCCCTTCCTCAGCTGAGGAGAGGGCCAAACCACCCCTGGGGCCCTCATGAAGTTGCTTCTCGGATTTGCTCCAGTCTCTTTGTAAGGTCAGGCAGGAGAGTGGGCCCGTCCCACAGACACACACATGTCAAGCACTCTTGGCTCCTCCAGAGCCTAAAGTTGCCTCCTTCCCTGACTGACCTCCCACTCTCTCCTCAGCACCTTGGGAAGTGGCAACTGCGGCAACAGCAGCAGCACTTCGAGGGCCTTCTCTGGAGCCAGGGGCAGTTGCATGGGCTCAAAAGTGGCCTGCAGCTCTTCTGATGGCCATCCCTGGTGCAAGTGTTCATCCAGCCCTGCCAGGGCAACAGCCCACCCCCTAGTACAACTGATGCTCCCTGAGACAACCTGGGAGACAGCCTGGATCAGCCACATCAACTCAGTTTGTCCACATAGGGGAATTTTGAATGTCTTCTGTTTTGTTTGTTTGAAAAATAATAAAACAGGCAACTGTAGTTTCGTGTTTGTGAGATGAAGGGGTGGGTGCTGGGACTGGCCAGTATAGTTTTCCCTTTACTGTGGAGGCTCCAGACAAGGCTTTGAGCAGGAGCTAGGTCCTGAGGCCCTTTGGGCCTCTGGCTCTGATTGCTTCCATAACCAGGCTCCACCCATATCTTATTCCTTACTCCTCAGACCATTTCTGTTCTCAGCTGTAGTATGAGGCCAGCTCACTTGGAAGCATCGGGCCCCAGAGGCATTACTGGCTACAGAGCCTAGCGAGTGGCCAGGTGGTGTGCTTAGAGCCTCCTCCTTGACAGCGGGAAAAGCCAGGCCTTCTTGCTGCTACCCAGTAGGCTTCCTGCTGTTCTCCACAGCTTCCCTCACTATGCACTAAACAGCAGTTGAAAGCAGAGAGAAGCTTTTCTTTGTCACTTCTGTACTCTTTGGCCTAGAAAAGATAAGAGTGGGTTTCCTTGTGGTGTGCATTAGAGCCACAGAAATATCTTGGGGACTGATCCAGAGCCCCTTCTCCATGATCATCAGTCCTCTCAGAAACTCACCTCACCTTAGAGTGCCTACCTCATGTCAGCCCTGAGCTACCAAGAGATAGGGATGGATAAACCATGCTTTCATTCCTTAGAGCCTTCAGCCTGGTGAGGAAGGACAAAGTCACCAAATGATAACCTGATGCCTCTGCTAAGGTGCCTTAAGGTATTTCTGTAAATGGCTGCACCAGGAAATGATGGAGAGAGCTTATGCTAAGAAAATGCTAGAGGAATTTGGTAAAAATGCTTTGCCAGAGCCCAGTCAAGAGTTTTAACTTGGATTAGGACCCCCTAGAGTGTCTACAGCACTTGAAAGGATACACTAAGTATCACTGTGGGTATGTGTATAATCATTTTTCTAGGGGGCTGGTCCACAGCTTTTATCAAGTTGTCAAAGTGATCCATTAACCCAACAGCCCAGCAGTGTTAAAGATCTTTCCTGTATATGATCCAAGCATTAGGCATGCGCAAAGCAGTCTTGTGCACTGGTTAATGCAATATCAGTTTCCTTCCAACTCTTCCCTCTCCCCTCACAATGACAAACGCTAGAAGTCTGTTGGCATCTTGGAATGTCAGAGCTGGAAGAGTCCGCAAAGAACATCTAGGCCACATCTAGTGAAGGGACTTGCAAATGTGTACTCTGGAAGGTACTCTAGTGCCTGCTCTGTAGGGGGAATAGGTGCCATAAGCTCTGGGTTCCCTCCATCACTTCATCAGATTCTTATGTATTGGAATCACATATGATTTCTTTTGAAAGATTTTTTTTTTTTTTTGAGACAGCCTCATTCTGTCACCCAGGCTGGGGTGCAATGGTGCGATCTCAGCTCATTGCAACCTCTGCCTCCCGGGTTCAAGCAATTCTCCTGCCTCAGCCTCCCAAGCATCTGGGATTACAGGCACCCACCACCACACCTGGCTAATTTTTTTATAGTTTTAGTAGAGATGGGGTTTTGCCATGTTGGCCAGGCTGGTCTCAAATTCCTGACCTCAGGAGATCCAACCGCCTCGCCCTCCCAAAGTGCTGGGATTTCAGATCACTGCACCCGGCCAGGAAGATGGGTTTTGCTGCTAAATAAATAAATAAATAAATAAGGTCTGGAAGTCACAGATCTAGTCTAACCCCATCATTGTATGCATTCAGACAGTGAGGCAGAAAAAAAAAGGGATTTGCCCAAGGCCACAGAGCAAGTTAATGGGTTGGTATAGATCAATGTTTTCTAGCAACATCAACATCACCTGGGTACTCAGAACTGCAAATTAATGGATCCCACTCCTGACCTGAATCAGAAGAGAGTGGACAGCAATCTATGGTTTAGCAAGCCCTTAAAGTGACTGATGCACACTGAAGTTTCAGATGCACTGACTGGTATACAGGAAAAAGCTCACCAAAGACCTGGGTTCCAGGCAAGCTCCACCACTTAAGGGGAGCAACTTTGGGCAAATCATGCCACAGTTTTTTTCACCTACAGGGAGATAATATTTGCCTCATATGCTTTAGAGGATCAAAACAGACAATGGATGGGAAAGTGTTGTCTAAAACATATCATACTTTGTATGTGTGAATGGTGTGGGTTCATGCCAGGGTTGGTAAGCATTGAAGTCAGGACTCAGGTCTCTGTATAAAAACCCATTGTCATGCTCTCCCCTGGCCCTCAAAGACTGATACAAAGATGAGAAGCAGACTACATGAGCTCATTTCTAGTCTGGGTCCTTCTGGAACCTAGGATTTCTGAGGCCATGTTGAAGGGCTTCAGATGGCAGGAGTTGGTGGGTGGGGAGTGGAGCTGTCAGGAAACAACCTTACTTGGCCTAGTGCCCATGGACCTTTTCTTTTTGATTAGAGATCAGAGACTGATTAGAAAGTCTGAACTGCACACCATTTCCATTTTTTTTTTTTTTGACAAGGTCTTGCTCTGTTTTACAGGCTTGAGTACAGTGGCACTGTCATGGGCCACTGCAGCCTCTAATTCCTAAGCTCAAGCGATCCTCCCATCTCAGCCTCCTGAGTAGCTGGGATGACAGGTGCGTACCACCATACCTGGTTAATTTTTTAATTTTTTGTGGAGATGGGGGTCTTCCTATGTTGCTCAGGCTGGTCTCAAATTCCTGGCCTCAAGCGATTTTCCCACCTCAGCCTCCAAAGTTCTGGGATTATAGGTGTGAGCCACTGTGCCCAGCCTGAAATGCACACATTTAACTAGGAAACAGGGATAGGGGTCAAGGAAAGGGAGCATAGATTATATTATTATTCAACAAGAGTAATTCAGAGATTCCCCTCTGATAGATAATTCATCAGTGGCAAAGAGTATGATTCCTGCACCCAAGGAACTCCCTGTTTTGTGATAGAGACTGTGTGCCAAAGTGAGTGACAAGGGCTAAGAGGTATTGCTCAATATTCATGCTAGGCCCACTGTGGGGAGGGACTAACAATGGCTTGACCTGGAGGTTGGACAGCTTGATAGAGGAGGTAACATTAGCACTGGATCTTCAAAGGCAAAGCTACTAGTCAGAACAAGAAGTAGAGGGAAGGCAAAGTCTGGAGAGGTTGAGGAAAGCGTGGCTAGGGGCACCAGTGCAGGGTACAGGATAGATAATTAGAACACAGTGATGTGAAGGACTTGGTAATCCATGAGGCCAGAGGGGAGGTGGAGAGGAATATGACCAGACTATTTTCCATCTGAGATTAGGGCAGAAGCACTGGATGTTTGTTGATTCTTCCTTCTTGGAATTCTAGTTGTTCTTGCCACTCTCTCCTTACCCTCATGCTGTCACTGCCCTCCAAGGAAGTGTTAATGTCTTAGTTTATTCTCTGAGTGTGCTTCATTCCCCCACTAGAGTGCAAGTTCTCCAAGATGGACTGTTCCTCTTCTGTCTGCCTAGCTTAGTATAGGCCAGACCCCTATTTGGTACTCCGTAGCAATCTGATACATGTATGTCCAAGGAATGTGACAGGAAGAGTAAGAGACAGAAGAGGAAGCAGGTGAGGAGAGATGAGCATTTTTAGTCCCATAGAGGATGTTAACAAAAAAAGATTCTGAGATTCACAAATAGTCTCTTCCAAAGGCTCGCAAGCTGGGCTTTGCTGCAGCCATGATGGCCACCTCTACCTTTAGAATGAGACTGGCCTGGAATGCGGTGGAGGGTGGGTAGGTGGCTTCAGAGAGGGAAGAACCAACTCCACTATAATAAAGGGCTTACCAGCCTGGGAGTCATGAGGTCTGGGCTTCCAGTCCTGCATTTGCCCCTAATTCTGTTTGGCCTTGGTCAAAACTCTTCAGCAGTCTTGGAGCCTCAGTTCACTATCCCCTGACGTGGTTGATGCAGCTGAGCACCCTCTGAGTGTGAATCGTAGGATGCTAGGCTCCTTTTGGCTCTGATATTCTGGCTGAGTCAGCAGATGATGTCTCTGTGGCCCTGAGGCTATTCAGGGGAGAAACTATAGGCTGTGCACAAAAATTAAGTCTGGGCCCTGGGCCCCCCACCTGGTTCTGACTGGTGGTTGAGCCCTGCCCTGCAGGGAACACCAGTTTGATTAGCACTAGGAACCATTAGTCTTCAAAAATTTGAGGACATACGCTTACTGGGTTAAAATTCAGATGGACACATTTGGGGAGATCCCTGCCTTTATCATTTATCTCAAAATATAAGTCGCAAGGATATACATTTAATACTTAGGAGCATACTGCTGGAATATATGTATGTATGTTTGATATGGCCTTTGTTGTTGGTGTTTTTTGTTTTGTTTTTTTGTTTTTTTTTTGAGACAGAGTCACTCTTGCCCAGGCTGGAGTGCAGTGTCATGATCTCAGCTCACTGTAATCTCCAGCTCCCAGGTTCAGGTGATTCTCCTGCCTCAGCCTCCTGAGTAGCTGGGATTACAGGCGCGTGCCACCGCGCCCAGCTAATTTTTTTATTTTTAGTAGAGACAAGGTTTTGCCATGTTAGCCAGGCTGGTCTCGAACTCCTGACCTCAGGTGATCCATCTGCCTTGGCCTCCCAAAGTGTTGGAATTACAGGTGTGAACCACCATGCCTGGCCCATTGTTGTTGGTGTTCTTAAAGAAACAGAGCCATGAGTAGTTAGACAAATAGTTTATACAGTAAATAACTGTGGTTACAGTTCATTGTTGTCAGTGATACAGCATTTTCCATCACAACTGTAGGTGAAACAAATTAAAACCTCATGAAGTAGTCATAGCACATTCATGCTAGTGAGAGCATATACAAAGCAATGCACGTGCATTATAGGGGCAGACAAAACTGGGCGAAGGGCTATATTTTCACTCACCTCTTGTTAACTTTGTGTATTTTGTCATTGAGACTTACATTATGTTTGGGTCAAACAAAAAACCCAAAGAGATTTTATAAAAGTTTACAACCATTAAACAGTATTGTTTAATCCCACAATGGATAAAGCAAACTACTATAGCTCAACAATACACAAACCAGGACTAAAAATAGTCAATCTATGTATATAGCTAGCTACCATACAATAGATATTGAATATACTGAGTCTTTACAAAGGCATTGACTATTTTAGACATGCAGGTTCCAGAAATACACTTATTTCCAATGAGAAGTAACTGTAGTGCCATTTCAGTTGAAGACTGTGCACTCCTCAGTGTCAGACCTGAGGATAAGCAAACTAGGGAAAGGCAGAAAAGGGTTAGGAGAGAGACCTGAGCGGGCTCTTTGGACAGCTCAGCATTACTTTCTCTGTGCAGATCCAGACCTGATTCACAAAGTAGAACAAAGTGTATTGAAATTTTGGGCCCTCAAAAGGCATTCGTACAAAGTCCCACACGTACAGCACAGATAGAATGGTAACTGAGTGCCTCTCAAAATGAACTCTTCTATATTCGAAGAAAACTCAGGGCCAAAGGTTAATGGAAATAAATCAGTGTTTGAATTACTGTATAAAGATAATTTATTCCAAAGTAGAAAAAGTGAATTTTAGAGAAGTGAAGTATTCTGGAATCTAGCAGGGGGTGGACAGAGAGAGAGAGAGAGAGAGAGAAAAAAAATCATGCTATCTATTTTATTACTTAGAAGAAAAATTTTGTAGACCATTTCCATAAGTCATCTGTCATTCTCCCTTCCATACCTGGCACCTTAAGAGACAGTGCAATGGCTCGATATTACCTTTGAAAAGGCTTCTTTTCCTTTGAGTTGTCTTACAGAAAGGGTGCCCTGGATTGACCATGCCACTCCGGGGTCACACTTCTCCTTTAGATCAAAATGAAAACAACAACAAAATCACAAAAAGAAGAAAAAAATTCAGAAAAGCTACAAAGTTGAAGGCCTCAACAGGAACAGACTTTCTATGAGGTCAGAAAATCAGTGAAATAATTAAAATTACAAAGCATCTCTTGCAAAATATACTGCTTGTTGAAAACCACACAAAACACTTTGTAGTAACCCCTGCTGAGTTCTTAGAAGTAAGTATTCTGAAAGACACATGCTTAGCCCCATGAAGGAAGCTTGATTTTATTATCAAGGCATCCGAGGGGGTCCCAATGCTTCCTTATTCTTTGCTGTTTTATAATTACAGACAAAATCGAAAGTCAAGAAGTGTGTAGACCTCAATATAAAGAAAATCTTTCTCTAATAACTAAGAACCATGCTGTATTTATGTATTCAATTATATAGCTCCATTTATAGATTCTTGCAGATGATTCACTAACACTGACACTTTTTACACAAAATCCCTTTGCAAGGACATATTAAATTTAATAGGCTAAAGAGAACTTACACAATATAATGCTTGAAATTGTACACATGATAGCTGTGCACTGGTAATAAAGAGGCCTTGAAAAATTGTCTTTGTCTATAAATTACTACTGACCTTTAGAAATAAAAGCTCCCTCACAACCCCTGAGCTACTTCCCTGTGACACACAGTGCCACAAACATCATGGTGAAAATTCAGTGCCAAACCTAGCTTAAGGTGAGTTTTGTACATTTGTTTCTATACAATCAGGAAAAAAAGAGATACAATTTGTATCAACAAAAGGTCATTTCTGGTTATTTGAGGCATTGCTCCTAGCCGCTTTTGGTTCATACCAAAAAGAAGAATGAGAGGAGAATGACATTGTTTTTAGTAAATCAGATATACATACGCTGCCTTAAAAAATATTTCCTATATTGGGAGGAGCTTACAAATTTTTTGAGTACTAAATATGAACATGTTCAAGATGATTGCAGGTGACAAGATTAATCTTGTGCTTCCCTATAAATTGTACAGCTAGTGGATACTGTGGTGCCATGGATGATTTTGGTAGGAAGATGAACTAACTGGCACACATAGGCAGTAGCATCATCTGAGATTGTCAAATACCCTGATTTAGACACGGGGCCGATTTAGAAAGTCCAAGAAGTTGAACGTATGAAATGGTGTTTGTGTGAAATAGCAAGCACTGCAGTGGCAACTGTCACTCTATGGACCTACCTGATAGAAAATACTTGTACATTTTTCAATATGCTGGGGTATATGAAGATCAGAGGATAGGAGATAGAATATAAAGCTCTGGTTAACTGAAGTGAAACATTGGTTAAGATGCAGTATTGATCAACTTGGACAAAGACAGAAAGCCAGAAAGCAGCATGCAAGCCATTATCAAACCACCAGAAACAACCCTGACTACAGCCTCACATTCAGAGTGTTTCACAGTAAGAAACATTTATAGGCAGTGTCATACCTTCTCATGAAGAAACAAAAGGCCAAGGCCCGGCCTTCTCAACTTTCATGAAAAAACGATCATAGAAGTTTTATGATCAGCTCAGGAAATAGTGAGCTGGTCATGGTTCGAAATATTGAAATATACAATGGATTCAAAAAGGGAATTCCTTTGTGCAGCTTAAAAAACAAACAAACACCTCTTCTAGAGGCATTTAGCTACAAAGTTTTCCACCCTGAGCAAGGTACAAGTTGCGCAAATGGTGTTGCCTAAACCAAAAGTCCTGCCTTCTAATAACTAACAATTATTTAACAGCAAATGCACTCTCTTTGCGTGGACTTAAAGTGCATAACTGAGCCAGCTACTAGCAAAGATGCAGTATCCCCTTTTGGAAACTGCCTTTTTCCATCTAGCAAATTCCCTGGGTTTGTTTCCTAAAGAAATTCTGTTCCACCAATGATTTTTGACCTTATTACCCAAAGGGTGGACAGCAAGGGAAAGTGGATTACATGGCTATGCACTGTCCTCCATTACATCTCATCCTGGGATGTTGAATACTGCATAGGTCGGAAGTCCAAAGAGCATCCAATAATCCCTCCTTGAGTGAAACTTTTTTATTCACCATTTAATGCCACATGGGTTTGGCCGTCTCTCCTGGGATAAGGGAAGTGGACTGTGTTGGTAAGTCCCCTGGTCCTTGTCAAACTCTTCTGAGCTTGTGTGAGCTTAACCATCAGTTCCTCGGCAAAAGAGTGCAACCTGATCCCTAATTTGCTAAGGTGAAGAGACTTGGAAGCTAAGAACTGTTAATAAATGTTGGCAAGTAAAATGTGCGAAGGAAATAGAGCTGCTTTGCTCTGGTGCCTAAGAAAGCAATGTTCAAATATTGCCATATAATTTCACTCTCAAAACTAGTTGAAACTATGAAATGTGACTTAAAATCATCAAGTCAGATTAGTGACCTATACAGCTATAGACTAAGGACTGCGTAGAGCCTACCCTCTCATTATCACTATATGAAAGGTTATACAGAGATACGTACACATCTCAAACCAAATATATACATTCATACATGCAATATAATTGCTAATAATAGGTTTAAAATATAGTTCTAGAAGCTTCAATGTGACCCTATAGCTTGGTTAAGAAAAACTGAATGATCCATGCAATAAAGTATGCATTTACTTTTAAATAGCTTTAAATATTTCTATTAGAAAAAACCTAAAAGGTTAATTCAACATATGATCTGATCCTAATGCTTTTGCTCTCTAAATTGGATATATCATCCATACTTTGTAATATAGAATATGTCACTGAAAACTCTGGTAGGCTGGGCGTGGTGGCTCACACCTATAATCCCAGCACTTTAGGAGGCTGAGGTGGCGGATCACTTGAGACCAGGAGTTTGAGAACAACCTGGCCAATATGGTGAATCTCCGTCTCTACTAAAAATACAAAAATTAGCCGGGCATGGTGGTGCACCCCTGTAATCCCAGCTACCCGGGAGGCTGAAGCCCTAGAATCGCTTGAACCCTGGAGGCGGAGGTTGCAGTGAGCAGAGATCACACCACTGCACTCCAACCTATGTAACAGAGTGAGACTGTCTCAAAAAAAAAAAAAAATCCTCTGGGGTTTCTTGCGTCTAGACCTCTCCCCCTGGGTTTTGTCCTCCATTACCTGCATGGTGCAGTGCAACAGGGCATGGGACTTGGAATTAGAGGACTTGGGTGTGTGTCTTGACTTGGTCATTTGCTAGCAGTGTGACCCTGGCTAGCCACTTAATTTCACTGAGCTTCAGCTTCCTTCTCTATAAAAGAGGATGTTATTAAGACCTACCTCACAGGGTTGTTATGCGCTCAAATGATGTAACACTCTAACTTGTAAAGCGCAACACAAATTATTAGTTACTATAATCGTATTTGTGTATTATTAGTATTAATATTCATATTTGTGTAAAGAAATAAGTACTATGTCATATCAACGTGCAGCCCTAAGCTTAGCAACAATCAAGGCTGCCAGTTGTTGGGCATCTGCTGTGTGGGGATTCTTCTCCATCACTGCAAGGACGATGTTAGAAGGGAAAATATTGCAGAGGTTCTTGTAGGTCTGATACTGGTGCTCTGGAATCATATGCTCCCTGGAATCATTGCACATTCCAACCCAAGGATTCCTCCAAAGCTGCTCCATCTTTTCAGGCACGCTCCGTACCATGACTGGCTCATAACATGGTTGCATGAGGTTGTTACTCAAGGGATAGGAGTGGTAGCCATAGGAGTCAGTTGCACAGGGCAGTGGGTCCCAGCTGGCATGCTGTTCCCGGCACAGGGGAGGTCGTCTTTGCCTCACAGGGTTGCTCTCATAGAGGCGGGAGTCAGAAATGCTATCCATCCGAGTCATCACCAGGGCACGGCCTGGCTGGGGTGCTGCCCCAGGATGGATATTGGGAGGCATGGGGTAGTCTGCAGGACAGCTGGAACGTGCTCCAGTTGCTGGGTGCTGGGCATGCAGAGCTAAGTGGGGGACTGACTGTTTGTGAGGTCCTTGCTTAGAATCCTCTGGGCCATAGCTCTGCACTCGTGTTAAGGCTTCATGGTAACCATGAGGAAAAGGCTGAAGTCGGTTCTGGGATGCTGAGCGGTGCAGCTTCAAATTGCCTTCAGGATGGGTATCAGCTACAGCCAAATACACGTTGTTGTAAGAGGAATAGTTGTCATTCCTGGTATGGCTCACACGGCTGTCAGGACAGAGGTTAGGATTCCGGGCATACACCCCCGGTCTGCTTCAGCCATGTAATATTCTCGATTATGCATGCTGTTGATGTTCAGTTTGGAGAAGTCGCCTAACATTGAATAGTAGCCATGGTCCCCCATGGATTCAAATTTTGGATATTGCTCAGCATAGCTAATAGGGGTCCCATGGCTGTTGGTAACCAGGATGGGAGGATACTGCATGCTGGCCATATGCTCCAAAGAGGCCTTCTGGTGGGGGAAATGGGAAGATCCTGGCACTGGGCTGCTGGCCGAACGGGTGTTGAGTGCACCCACTGCATGGCTTTTAGGGGGTGGGATTGTGGGGACACTTAGGGCAGTCACAAGAGAGGGGACAGAACTAGCCTCAGGCTTACGGGCAATAGACAGCCATTCCTCAGGCTCCACAGCCACAGACCGGATGCTGGGATCTGATTGGCGCTTGGGGGCCACACGTTTGACCTCTGAGGTTATCTCACCTTTGGCACTAGACATCCCTGTGCCACACTTGGCCAGGGTGCCTTCACTCATAGTTTTCACTGTGGACAGTTTGGCACTGATGCGGAGCTCATCAGCCACCGAACGCTGGGGTTGGTTGGCCCGCTCCGGATGGTAGTATTTGCACTTGTGGCCGTAGGTGCATTTTTTGCCTGAAAAATAATGCCTTGGGGTAAGACTCTCTCTCAGTGATGTAACCCTCCATGCCAGAAACTGTTGTAACAATCTGGTCACTCAGGTTAGGGTTTTACTGTTTGGGGTAAAGGCAGAAAATTAGCTGTCCACAAAGATGAGAGACAGACAACACCAAGGAGGCATCACACACTGTGAGGGAAGAGAGAAAGTGGAAAGCTATGGAGAAAATTGCAGCATAAAAGCTAAGAGCTGGCTGGATGCCGTGGCTCATGTATGTAGTCCTACCAATTTGGAGGCTGAGGTGGGTGGATCACTTCAGCCCAGGAGTTCGAGACCAGCTTGGGCAACATGGTGAAACCCCATCTGTAAAGAAAAATGCAAACAAAATTAGCTGGGCACGGTGGTGCACGTCTGTAGTTTCAGCTACTCAGGAGGCTGAGGTGGGAGAATCTCTTGAGCCTGGTAGGTCAAGGCTGCAGTGAGCCATGATCATGCCACTGCCCTCCAGCACAGGTGATAGAGCAAGACCCTGCCTTAAAAAAAAAAAAAAAAAGCTAAAGCTGAGCAGTTGAGAAGCTTTAATTTTTCGATAACACACAACTTTGCCTAGGCATAATCTGCATGCTGAAGCAGCACAGAGTAACTGAAAGCAGCATAATGCAGTGCAAAGAGCACAGGTTTGGAGTCCAGTCAGATCTGAATTTCAATTCCAACTATGTCCCTTATTAGCTGTGTGATCTTGGTAAGTGACTATATTTTGTGAGCCTCATTTTCCTCTTCTGTAAACAAGGCTGATCATCATGCCTATATTATAGGGTTATTGTATAGATTAAATGAGATAACGAACATGAAAGTACTCTGTGACTTAAATGTTGAGGACAAAAACCAAAACACCCTACAAAACAAATGATCATCCAAAAAGGACAGACGTCCAAAGTAACCTCAGATCAAGCAGCCCATGTCGCACAAACCTTGTGCCAGAGGGACTTGGGTAAGAGCATGAAAACACTAGAAAACTATATTTATTTAAAAAAACAAAACAAAACAAAAAAACTTGGGCTGGGTGCAGTGGCTCATGCCTGTAATCTCAGCATTTTCAGAGGCCGAGGCAGGTGGATCACTTGAGGTCAGGAGTTTGAGACCAGCTTGGCCAACATGGTGAAATGCTGCCTCTACTAAAAATACAAAAATCAGCTAGGCGTGGCATCACGCACCTGTAGTCCTAGCTACTGGGGAAGCTGAGGCAGGAGAATCGCTTGAACCCAGGAGGCAGAGGTTGAAGTGAGCCAAGACTGTGCCACTGCACTGCAGCCTAGGTGACAGAGCGAGACTTTGCTTAAAACAAACAACAGACAAAAATTGGAAGGGGCAGATCTAAAGAAAAGATCAGTATCAATTGACAGAGGGTCCAGTCACCTGCCTGAGACACATGTTCATCTTTGGGCCAAACTCAGTTTGGTATTGCCCTTTCTGCTTCCACAAGCCATATAGGTTTCTGTATTTCCCTGCTCACAGCAACATAGGCAGGACGTAGGCAGCTAGAGCACATGTGCTATTGTCACAAGTGACAACTAATCTTCCCTTCAATTCTAGCTACCTTTTCCTCATTCAGTTTCTAAGATTTTTCTTTAGTTACCTAACAGTGTACATGAAGACACAAACTTTAACTCATAGACAGTGGACAAACCAGGATTTCCCATTTGAAAGGGAAACCTGGAAGAGAAAAGTGTTCACAGAATCCTTATGTTTTTTGTGGTACAGAACTTAGTTTTGCACATAGGTACTCACCATAAGGACATGGCTGCTTCTTATGCTCAGGAACAATGGGTCTCTTTCTTAAGAAATTTTCAAGGCTTGGGCCATGTCGTCCTAAAGGATCATCTGGAGGCATAAATCTGAAAGGAAGTAAGCAAGAGGTTACTGTATTCCTTTCTGTCCCCTACTCCTTACTAGACATTCAGACTTTTGTGCCTGTACTGCTGTCACAACTTTCTAATTGCCCTCCCTGCCTCGAGTCTATCCTTTGCTAATATAGCAGTTCTTCCCTTTGTTGCCACTTTATCACATAGAAAGGACGATTTTCCCTGTTCATCATTCTTCCGTGAACTATATGTTTGAGCCATGCTGGCATGTCTGCTGGTTCCCCCAATATGCCACCCATTTTCATGCCTTCATAACTTTATTCATGATATCCCCCTCACCTGTCATGCCTATCAGCCCCCTTTCCTCCGTCTATAAACTTGATCTGAAATGTCTCCTCTCAGATGCCTTTTTCTATTACTTCATATAGACAAAGCAACTTTAAGAAACAACTTTTAACTATAGCTCTTACAGCAACACATTGTGGTTGTCTCTTTCGCTCCTCTACTACACTTTGAGCCCCTTAAGGGTTAGTCCTTTTCCTTATTCATCCTTTTATCTCTATGGCAACCAGCAAAATGTATGATACACAATAAGTGTTCGGTAAATGTTTATTAAAATGAAATGAAGTCTATTCCTACTGATAACTTTGATATAGGCCTAGTGGAAAGAAACGCACTTGTCATTCACAAAAGAATACATCAGCAACCGCTCCTCTATAAACTTCTTCCATTCTGGCTTTTCAACTTGAAGGTCTCGGTAGTTATCATTGGACACAATGATGCCATCAGAGTCAAAAGCCAGTTTGACTATGAACCGGTCATCATAGCAGACAACCCTCCTGCCTTGGACTCTTCGGGATGGTGTGAAGACGAGAATCTTTTCTTTCTCCAGTTTTCTTAGAATATCTTGATCTGTCAAAATATGCCACAGAGCAGAAATCATCTTTGGAAATTAACAGTATTACCTCAATATTAAAAATGCAAAAGTTGGTACTGGATGACCATGTTATGTGCCCTTACAGGGAAAGTAGGCCCTGTTCCTGGCTTATGATATCAATTTGGAGTATGACCTTAGGCAAGTCATCTTCCCCTTTGGACTTCTGTCTTCTTTTTGATAAAATGAAGGAACTGAATTCAATGACATCTAAGTTTTAAAAACTGCCAAGAAGAGTGAGAGGGACATTGATATCTTAGCATTCTTGATGCTTGTTTTGTCCTTTTGTCCTTTGGCCAAAGCACCAGCTTTTTGGTTGTTGATTTCTAACGGGGAAGTACTAAGGTGTGTCTGTCAGGAGGAAACTAAAGCATCTCTCCTAGGGACTTACATTTTTGGCTTCTGCCTGAGGGAAGACCAAAACTAGGGTGAAACATCAAGCTATATAGCATCTGAGTGCTGACCCCCTTTCCTTTTGGTCTCCTAATTGCTGAGGCAAAAAAGTTTGCTGACTGGGCTTGAGCAGGGCTAGAATCTATTCTGACTGAGGCTCAAGAGCCTGTTAAGCAGATGGCAAATAGCTTCACACAGCTGAGACAGCCATTCACTGGACTTTCTCATTAGGCATATCCGGCAATAGCTGATGCTCAGAAGACAGTTGTAAATGAATGTAGAGACACTTCTGCCATTAGGACTGCATCATGACTTTTGAGCACCTTAGGCATTTTTGCCTTCCTGGGCCCCTTCCTCTATAAGAAATGTTAAATATTGGCTGGGCATGGTGGCTCATACCTGTTATCCTAGCACTTTGGGAGGCTGAGGCGGGCAGACAGCTTGAGCCCAGGAGTTCAAGACCACCTTGGGCAACACGGCAAAACTCCGTCTCTGCTAAAAATAAAAAATTAGCCAGGCTCAGTGGGACATGCTTGTAGTCCCAGCCAGTCAGGAGGCTGAGGTGGTAGAATCACCTCAGGGAGGTAGAGGCTGCAGTGAGCCATGATCACACCATGGCATTCCAGCCTAAGTGACAGAATGACACCCTGTCTCACAAAAAAGAGAAATAATAAATATTAAAAATTTCATTTTCAATTGCTTTGGTATAAAGCCAAGGATAACCCAGCTAGATACATCATTATACATGCATTGCTATTATATTCAATTTTTTCTTCTGATGTGAGAAGAAAATAAAATTAAGACATTTTCATGGCCCTTAACAATATCATTGGCCCTAGGTACCAGACTTTTGTGTTTTATCTTTTGCTGAATTGAAGTTTTCTTTATTTAACTGTCAGATGCCACAAAATAATGATGGCTTTATTTGGAAATCTTTTCAAATATACACTTAATAAAAATACTTGAAATATACTTAACAACTTTGAAAAATAAATATCTACATTGGAACCATCAATCTCTCCCCAGACTATCTTTCCAGATTTGTCGCTAGATGACAAGAAATGTCTTATTTGACACAGTACCGGAAATTGGTGCATCAGGGCGGGATTGCTCCTTTCTCCATGCAGGCACAAATACAGTAATATCTTTATGGCCTTTATCTAGAAACCAGTCCACAGCAAGTTGTATTCCTCTGCAGGAAAATTCTTCTTTATTCCCATGACTTTAGGAAGACAGAGAATAAGAGGAGAGAAGATTGATAATACGTAGCAAAGAAATACCTGAAGCAGGCTTTTTCTTAGTACCAAGGTATTAATAATAGACTTTTCTTTCTTTTTTTCTTTCTTTTCTTTTCTCCTTCCTTCCTTCCTCTCTTTCTCTCTTTCTTTTTCTTTCTTTTTTTTTGATGGAGTCTCACTTTGTCCCCCAGGCTGGACTGCAGCGGCATGATCTCGGCTCACTACAACCTCTGCCTCCTGGATTCAAATGATTCTCCTGTTTCAACTTCCTGAATAGCTGGGACTACAGGCGCGCACCACCAGGCCTGTCTAATTTTTGTATTTTCAGTAGAGACCGAGTTTTGCCTTGTTGGCCAGACTGGTCTCGAATTCCTGACCACAGGTGATCCGCCTGCCTCAGCTTCCCAAAATGCTAGAATAGCAATTGTGAGCCACTGCGGCCAGCCATGACATTTACATTCTTGATAATGTCAAGTAATATGCTTTTTAAAGAACAAATCAAGTTCTTTTTAATTGTTACAAATTTGCCATTACTATTACAAACTTCATTCAGGGCCATAGATGGTTAGTAATAACTCTCAATTTATTGTAGCCCTGGTAGCTATCTCCTATCACTAGTTCCATTTTCTCTCTTCTCTTTCTGTTTCTGCTACCACTTTCTTTTCAAGGATTGAGATTTTCACAAAAGATAAAAAATATAAAGGTATTACCAAAGCTTTAAAGTTTATATAGAGTATTAATTGGAGATAAGTCTTTTGCTTTTTGTATTTTTTATTTTTTTTAGAGATGGGGTTTCACTGTGTTGGCCAGGCTGGTCTTGAACTCCTGAACTCATGATCCACCCACCACAGCCTCCCAAAGTGCTAGGATTATAAGCATGAGCCACTGCACCCGGCCAGGAGATAAGTCTTAAGCACATATATATTAAGCTTCAAAAATAACATCAACAGTGAAAAAGATATGCACATCAATGCTCGCTGAAAATGCTTATTACATATATCCATTTAATTAAATATAATGCACCAACAAAAATCATATTCATGAAAATTTTAAGATGTAGGAAATGCTCATAATTTTGAAAGAGAAAAGAAAAACTAGAGACTACATATAATGTAATCTCAATTTTGTAGAAGAAAATCTATGTATGAGCTTAGAAAAAATACGAGAAATAAATACATGAAAATATTAATAATTATTGTTGTTCTATATGATCTATTTTCTCTCTCTAATTCCAAAATATCCTCAAAAAATCAAATATTTCTGGCTGGGCATGATGGCTCAGGCCTGTAATCCCAGCACATTGGGAGTCCGAGGTGGGACAATCATTTGAGCCCAGGAATTTGCAACCAGCCTCGGCAACATAGCAAGAATCTATCCTTATTAAAAAGAAAAAAGAAATTCAAGTATTCTTTTTATAACCGGAACATGATATGAAAGAGAAAAAATTCTATCAGAATTACTTGTAGGATTAACATTGTGAAAACTTAAAAAGCCAAACAGAAATCATTTAAACAGAAATTGGACGAGAGAAAATTTGCAGATAAATTGGGAAAAGATGCACTAGATTTGGGCCTAGCGTGGCTGTGAAAATTATACAAAAATTATACAAAACCAGATGATCTCTTAGCATGGTATCTAGTGCTCTAATGTATATATAAATCACACTAAATTATAGTTTGTTAAACAGCGTGGATGGTAACAAATGGGTGTACATGTACCAATTCTACTACAATCAAGTGGCTATTGTCTTTTAGGACTGATGAGAAGAAAAGAATTGTTTTGTGAGAAGGCCAATTAAGGTGATGTGATGAGGCTTCTGGCTTTGGATTCCTTACCTTTTCACCGGCACTAGCTCACTCAACTACTACAGAAATTAACTCCAATATAGTGTTCCTTTTGGATGAATTCATATATAATATCAGGGGCTTCATTAATTCTTGTACTGGAAATCTTCTCACTGCCTTATCACTCTTGGGGCAAATTGCAAAAATTCATTAAATGCTTTTATTAACATTTCCAAGCATATGTTAATCATGTTTAAAGGTCCCTAATGAGTACCATAAAGCAATTATACTACTCAACTGAAAGTTGAAAGCACTTAAGAAACAAAAGGAAAATATATTTAGCTGTCAATATACTCCAAGGCTTAGAGATAACTACCACTGACTCCTAAAAAGTTGAACAATGCGGAAATCATGCAAGGCCACGGTGCTTAAAGGGTTAATATTAGATGAACTCAGCGTGAAACAGTCAGGAAGAGATGTCCAGTTGTGAATCTTCCCACTGCTACAGTGCTGGTAAGCATAAAGAAAAACAGAACTTGGGAAAATTATCAGAATTGCCAATAGAGGGGGGATTTGAAGGAAAGGGATGGAATTTCAGTTGGCTCTGCAGTGTTATGATCTTCTCCCAAACAGTCTAAGTCAGACATAAATATAAGAGTACCATTTGCTGTTAGATACTGCAACTTTATATTTTATACTGCCAAATTGTTTGTTTAAAAAAATATATTTTTTCAGCCAGGCACGGTGGCTCACACCTGTAATCCCAGCGCTTTGGGAGACCGAGGCGGGTGGATTGCTTGAGGTCAGGAGTTCGAGACCAGCCTGGCCAACATGGTGAAACCCCATCTTTAAATATATATATATATTTTCAACCTGGGCAACAGAGTGAGAAATATATATCTGTATATATTTCATGACTAAAAAAGGTGATATATAATTATAGTATAAAATGTGGAAAATACATAAAGTATAAAGAAAAAAACTTCAAAATCTGACTGTTTTACTACCATCTAGAGACAAACACTTAATATTTTGATATATTTGTATTCTGAGATTTCCTAACATACTGAGAATTATGTTAATAAAAAAAATAAGATACCTAAAGCATCCCATTAAAATATAATAAAAGTATGTCATTGAAGCATTTCATGAGGCACACCAAATGTCCAATAAGAATCAGAAGGTACTTTCAACATTATCAAGGTGGCAATGAGACCTACACAACAGCCAAGTATGCAAAGTTTATTGCCCCCAAAACATTTAAAGAATGAATAATTTTTTTAAAAAGTGGAAAATAAAGTAATGCTTGCAAGTGGCTTGTTTTTGCTTAAACCCATAAAATGTCCTTTTCCGATCTAAAAAAGCTAAAAACCCTAGGACCTGCAAGTCACAGAGTATCTTGGTGACACTACAGCTCACTTGGTCTTGTAAACTGGCTTAGGAACCCATCATGATCCAGGTTCCCAAGCCAAATTCAGCTTAGCAGAGAGGTCACTGGCCCCTCGCTGTGCAACTGCTTTCTCTAGGGTTCAAATGTTTGGGCTTCTCCTAGACTTAACAAGAATATGGTTACATTTACATTTCAAAGCCTTAATTCCTCTGAAATGGATTTCTCCTCCCAAAGGAGACAGCTCTCAGAATGAATGTACCCTTTAGGATAATCAGTATGTGGACCACAGGTACACTACTACTGCAAATTTTAACCAAATGCTGCTAATGGCAAACAAAGCATTGTATTTTTAGTAGAGATGGGGTTTGCCTTGTTGGCCAGGCTAGTCTTGAACTCCTGACCTCAAATGACCCTCCTGCCTAGGCTTTCCAAAGTGCTGGGATTACAGAGGTGAGGCACCAGACCTGGCCCATACTTTTATTTTATTTTTGGAGACAGGGTCTCTCTCCGTCACCCAGGTTGGGTGCAGTGGCATGATCCTGGTTCACTACAGCCTCAATTTCCCTGGGCTCAAGTGATTCTCCTCCCTCACCTTCCCAAGTAGCTGGGACAAGAGGCACACACCACCATGCCGGGTACTTTTAGTAGAGATGGGTTTTCGTCATGTTGCCCAAGATGGTCTTGAACTCCTGGGCTCAAGCAGTCTGCCTGCCCTTGGCCTCCCAAAGTGCTAGGATTACTGATGTGAACCACTGTGCCTGACCAGCATCATAATTTTAATGCAGGCTCATCCAACAGGCTGAGAAACAACAGACATTAACGTGTAGTTCATCTAAGAAAAATACCAATCTCACCATAAACTTACAGCTAACTAATGAGGAAGACAAACCAAATTTAGATTAACTGTAATAATAAATCCATAAGTAGAGTATAGTGCTGAACTTTGAGCATGTGAAATGTGATTGCAGAATAAATGGGACTCATCAGTAATTTACTACTCAGACAAAAAAGAAGATGCTAACAAGGACTCAACTGGTAATTTTTTTTAAATCACGTGGTCTACTCTGCACTATTTTAATATGCTCTTAATAATAAGGTTGCATGCTATTGTTTTTTGCTTTATTTAAATCATGCAAGATGCCATTAATTTAGTGAAGTAACTTGTACAGGAGATAAAAGTTGATTTTCCTGTCAGTATAATAGTTTGCTACTGACATAGACCAGATATGTTGAAACTAATTATCCAAGTGTTTAATCTCTGCATTATTCCTTAAAAAGCAAAAGAGTGTCCTTCATGATCAGCAATTCTTGAATAGAAGTCCAGAGAGAAGAAAGTTATGCATTACCATGAAGCCAAAATCCCCAAGTTAGGCTCTTGTCATCCTCAACTCCGAAACACAAAACCAGACCAGACTGAAAAATAAAAGGGTAGGCCTTGGGAAACATGTCCAATCTAGGGTATTTCAGGTGGTCTGGTTTGGTGACGAATTGAGTTGGGCACATCCCAAACTTCTTCCACTCAAGAATCACTCTTTCTTATGCCTGTTCGGAGGGCAGCAGAGATACCTCTGGGCTTTGGAACACAGGCGTCATCCTTTGCTTTTCACTGGCCCACTGCATCATTCTGATTGCTGTAATATTGTGTGCAGGCCATTTTACTTTCTTGTTACTGTGCTTTTGGTTTCCCCTCATTAAAACAAAGGAGTTATCTAGCCTGGTTTACTCTTATGATGATTATGCTGTCGTAGTTTAAAAACTTTGAAAAAGGAAATCTGTAAATGTATTCTCTGCTACTAGCAAATATGCCAAATATTCTTTTTTCTTTTCTTTTTTTATATATAGGGTCTCACTCCATCACTCAGTCTGGAGGGCATTGGTGAGATCACTGCTCGCTGTAGCCTTGACCTCCCGGGCTCAAGAGATCTTCCCACCTCAGCCTCCTGAGTAGCTGGAACTTCAGGCATGTGCCACTATGCCCAGATAGTTTTTTATATTTTTCATAGAGACAGGATTTCACCATGTTGCCCAAGCTGGTCTTGAACTCCTGGGCTCAAGCAATCCTCCCACCTTGGCCTCCCAGTGTGCTGGGTTATAGGTGTGAGCCACTGTGCCTGGCCCAAATATTCTTAATGACATGAATAGCCACATAATACTGTGTGATATTGTGAAAAGAGAATTGGGGTCAGGTTAGTGTTTTAATCTAAGTTTTGTAACCTTGGGTAACCTTGGGTAGTTACTCAAATTCTCTGAACCTGAATCTCTTCACCTGCAAAAATGAATCAAATTAGTTTATTCTTATAGGGTTTCCAATGGGGATTAATTCACAAATATGAAAGAACCTGGCACAGAATCTGTATTCATAAATGTTAGTTTGTTTCATTTCATTCATTTGAAGTCAGAGGACTTAAGTTTAAGTTGTCACTTTACTACTTACTAGCTATGTAAACTCAAGGAAGTTACTTAACTTTGCTGAGCTTTATTTTTTCATCTGTAAGATAAAGTTGCTGTGAGGATTAAACAGGACTATATACTAAAATGTACTTCCAGGTAGCCTGCTAAGCATTTCCTGTATACAGCAATGGTATGGTTCATGACTTTCTACGATCCCCACTGTCTCATGTCTCTGTGGGAGTACCCAATCACGCAATGATGGACTCAGGAGGAAATAGGATGCTGATTACTGGGTTTTTTTCAACCAAGGCAGGATAACAATTCATTTGAGAAATAGAAGGAGGGATTCCTATGGCTCTCTGACACAAAATTTAAAAACGATATGAGAGACTATGGACTAAATTATGAAGGCACTGTAGGTACTATGCTAGTCTCCCACTGCTGCTATAACAAATTACCACACATTTAATGACGTAAAATAGCACCAATTTATTCTCTTACAAGTTCAAGAGGTCAGAAATCTAAAATCAAGGTGTTAGCAAAGCTGTGTTCTTTCTGCAAGCTTAAGGAGAGAATCTGTTTCCTTCCCCTTTTCAGCTTTCTAGAGGCCACCCATCCTCTTTTTTGTTGTTTGTTTCTGAAACAGTCCAATGGGTCAGAAAAACCACCCACATTCTTTGGTTCATAGTCTCTTTCTTATGTCACTCCAGCTTCTTATTTCTGCCATTGCATCTTCTTCTCCCTGTTCTGATCTTGCTGCCTCCCTCTAATAATGACTCTTAGGATTACATTAGGCCCACCTTGATAATCCAGGGTAATCTTTCCCATCTCAAGAACCTTAATAACATCTGCAAAGTCCCTTTACCATATGAGATAATGTGTTCAGGGCTTCCAGGGATTAAAATGTGGGCATCTCTAGGGGGCTATCATTCAGCCTACCACAGATATTGTAGCTCAGAGGTCATCATTGGAATCAGAAAAATTAAGAGTGTCTTTATGAAGGTGGTGCATTTTCAAGGCTACGAAGATAAAAAGGAGGCCACTTCTAAATTGGGAAATTACATGAACACAGGTAGTGGGAATAGAAATCAGCATAATTTACATAAAGATCATTAAAGAGAGAGATGTAAATGCCATAAGCATGAGAGATGCAATTAAATGGGAGGAGGGAAAGGCCAGATCACAAAGAGCCTTAAAGCCAGGGAAAAGGATAAAAATTCAGTATAATAACAGTTGAGAGTTACTGAAGTTCCTAAGTAAACCCCAAAGTGACTTTATAAAAGCAGCGTTTTCAGGATGATTAGTCTAGGGGTGGGACAGCTGACCCCAAAAGGAACAAAGCTGAATGGCTACGTCTCCTTTGAAGCATCATCACTGTTGTTGAAGCTGCCTTCCGAACACCTGAACGCACATTGGCAGCACCTTGAGTGGAGATAGAAAAGGCAAGGGCAGGATAATTTTAGTTTCTGGTCACCTTCAGAAACACAAGCCACACGGTGGCTCACGCCTATAATCTCAGCACTTTGGGAGGCCGAGGTGGGTGGATCACGAGGTCAAGAGATCGAGATCATGCTAGTCAACATGGTGAAACCCCGTCTCTACTAAAAATACAAAAAATTAGCTGGGCATGGTGGTGCGCCCCTGTAGTCCCAGCTACTCAGGAGGCTGAGGCAGGAGAATTGCTTGAACCCAGGAGGCGGAGGTTGCAGTGAGCTGAGATCGCACTCTTGCACTCCAGCCTGAGTAACAAGAGCGAAACTCCGTCTCAAAAAAAAAAAAAAAAGAAACACAAGCCACAGTCACTAACCATGTACCTCTTTTTTTTTTTTTTTTTTTTTTTAATTTTTTATTGGATTATAGGTTTTGGGGTACATGAGCAGAGCATGAAGACAGTTGCGTAGGTACACACATGGCAGTGTGCTTTGCTTTTCTTCTCCCCTTCACCCACATTTGGCATTTCTCCCCAGGCTATCCCTCCCCACCTCCCCCTCCCACTGGCCCTCCCCTTTTCCCCCCAATAGACCCCAGTGTTTAGTACTCCCCTTTCTGTGTCCATGTGTTCTCATTTCCAAAGGAAGAAAATTTTTATGAGCTCAGGGCAGTTTTTTAAAAAGAGAGAAAAAACATACCAGGCTTACCTCATTGCCACATTACTTCCATCAATGACAACTGGCCTCAAATTGTCACTGTTGTCTATTTCATCTTCAAGAGACAATTCAGGACTTGCAATCTCTCTAGAGCTGGGCCCACGAGGCACTAACAGACTCAAGTTGATCTGCCCTTCTGAATCACCTTTGTTCCCAAGTCTGACAAGCTCTGCCAATACATCATTAATAAGTGATTCTGGTCCCAGCTTGTTTAGCACTGATTGAATCTGTTCCTCTGCATAGCCTAGCTTTAGAGCAAACTCCACCTTAGCTTGGTATTCCTTCTCCAAGTCAAGTTTACCATCCTGTAAAATGCTGCTCTGGGAGAAGCTTGGATGATCTAGGCAGGGTGATCGACAGAGCTGGCGGTGTGGCTTGGAGGGCATCTCCTTTTTCTTCAACTGACCATCCCTAGGGTGGCAGCTCTTGCTGTTGTCAATACTCTTAAGGCTTATCTGTTCAGGGTCACTCTCAGAGCTCATCCACTCTTCAGAATCAGCATTGCCCTGCTCTGTGCTGTTCTGTTTAGGCTGCTGCTTCTCTTCCTTGGAGGCACTCTTCTCCATTTTTGGTGTCTCTACCTCAGCTGTGGCCGTCATCCCGTTCAGTGGGTCTTCTGAGGTCTAATCAGTTCTTTTTCTTTTTAGCCTGCTTGGAATCCACATGGAGTGGCATGCTTTTGTGGTAAAATGTCGTGATAGTGATGGTGGAAGAGTTAGCCTGTTTGGTTTGGTATGTTCAGATGTTACCAGTCCCTATAAATAAACACATATACCACATCATGTTTAGTAAAGTTTAGGAAAATAATTTTAGAATTCAGAGGTTTCTTCTTAAGAAACTACAGGTTTTTGGCATTTGATTTTTCTGCTTACAATGATGGGACTCAACTTACATTAAAGAGTCCCTAATTCTATAATAATTCTAGACATAGGGCCGGGCACGGTGGCTCAAGCCTGTAATCCCAGCATTTTGGGAGGCTGAGTCAGGTGGATCACGAGGTTAAGAGATCGAGACCATCCTGGTCAACATGGTGAAACCGCGTCTATACTAAAAATACAAAAAATTAGCTGGGCATGGTGGTGCGTGCCTGTAATCCTAGTTACTCAGGAGGCTGAGGCAGGAGAATTGCCTGAACCCTGGAGGTGGAGGTTGCAGTGAGCCCAGATTGCACCATTGCACTCCAGCCTGGGTAACAAGAGTGAAACTCCATCTCAAAAAAAAAAAAAAAAAAAACCAAAAAAATAAAATAATTCTAGACATAAAAATTTCAGTGATGGTAATAATGCTGTTATTTACTCCCGATATACACAAAAAGCAACAGCTAAAGTTATCTGCTTATCACAACAATTTTGAGAAAGAGAAACATCACATTTCAACAAGATGCAATTATATATATATAATACATATGTTTCCTTGGAAAGAATGTCTCTCTCTCTCTCTCCATATATATATATTTCCTTGGAAAGACTCTCTTTCTTCCTTTCTGCCAGGAAACATTTCCAGATCCCATACCACATCCTTCTTGCTAAGGCTAAAATCCACTCCTGAAGAGCACATGTTCTCCTGCGTTACCCTTTGCAAAATATCAGGAACCTCATTTACTAAGGAGACTAGAAAAACATTAAAATTGCTCAGACAACTGAAGCAGGCTGTAAGGGTAATAAACAGAGAGGTATGTTTCAGATAAGAAAGGGTATGTATGTGTACTTTCCTGAATGTGTCTGAAGTCCCTTTTTTAATTGTAATTGATAAAGAAAAGGAGAAAAGGAGAAAAAGCAACTCAACTTGCAAGAGAAACTAGAACACAATAAGAAGAGTATTAATTACAGGAGAGAATTAGGGACAATTATATTTCTAAACTCCTTCTCTAACCTACCTCATCTGTCCCAGCAGGTTTCAGTTCTAACCTGGCCTGTGTGTCCTTTTCTTTGAGCCTCAATTTCCTCATATGTAAAATGAGGATATTGACAGCTACCTTACAGGGTAATTGTAAGGATTGCATAATATATATTAGGAAAGTGCTTAGAAAAGTGAAGATAACACAGTAGGGTCTCAATATACTTAAAGGGGGTAATGATACCACCATGGATTTGGTTTTATTTTTTAAAGAAAACTGACAGTGAGGTAAGGCTATGGACCTGTGAGCACTGATGAGCACTTCAGGCAGAAGCTGTGCTGACTCATCTAAAAATAGGCTACTGACTGGGCACCATGGCTCATGCCTGTAATCCTGGCACTTTGGGCCGAGGCAGGTGGATCACTTGAGGTCAGGAGTTCAAGACCAGCCTGGCCAACAAGGCGAAACCCCTCTCTACTTAAAATACAAAAATTAGCTGGGTGTGGTGGCTGGTGCCTGTAATCTCAGCTACTCAGGAGGCTGAGGCAGGAAAATCGCTTGAACCTGGGAGGTGGAGGTTGCAGTGAGGTGAGATCACAGCACTGCACTCCAGCATGGATGACAGAGTGAGACTCTGTCTCAAAATAAATAAATAATTAAATAACAGGCTACTTATGTGACCAGTATGCCAGAGATTTCTAGTTACATCTCAGTTCTGTGTGTGTGTGTGTGTGTGTGTGTGTGTGAGAGAGAGAGAGAGAGAGAGAGAGAGAGAGAGTTTCCCTCTTGTTGCCCAGCTCTTGTTGCCCAGGTTGTAGTACAGTGGTGTGATCTCGGCTCACACTGAGTTCAAGCAATTCTCCTGCCTCAGCCTCTCAAGTAGCCGGGACTACAGGCATTCACCACCATGCCCGGCTAATTTTGTATTTTTAGTAGAGACGAGGTTTCACCATGTTGGCCAGACTGGTCTCGAACTCTTGACCTCAGGTGATCCACCCACCTCAGCCTCTCAAAGTGCTGGGATTACAGGCATGAGCCACCACACCCTGCCTCAATTCTGTTTCTACAAACAAGAAAAACCTCTAATGGTTTGAAGAATGCTATGAATAACTGTATGCTTACTTTAGGAGTCACATTTGGAAACAGAGCCAAACATAACATCTCAGAAACGACATTCAAGCAGCATATAACGACCCCTGGAATGATTAAATTACCACTTACGACATTAAAAATTTCCCTCAGTGAATTAGTCAACCCAAAGACACCCATTTTCTTATAAGTTCCACGTTTACTATCTGACTTACAGTTTATTTTCTTTGAAATAATTCCTAGTGTATACAGGATATTGAAATATTTCCCCTAGATTTATTCAAAGCTTCAAAGTCACTTAAAACCAACTGTTTATGGCCAAGTGCAGTGGTTCATGCCTGTAATCCCAGAACGTTGGGAGACCGAGGCATGTAGATCATGAGGTCAGGAGTTCAAGACCAGCCGGACCAACATGGTGAAACCCCGTCTCTACTAAAAATACAAAAATTAGCCATGCATGGTGGCACACACCTGTAATCTCAGCTACTCAGGAGGCTGAGGAGAGGAGAATCACTTGAACCCAGGAGGTGGAGGTTGCAGTGAGCCGAGATTGTGCCATTGCACTCTAGCCTGGGAGACAGGGCGAGACTCTGTTTCAAAACAAAAACAAAAAACAAACAAAAAACTGGCTGGGTGCGGTGGCTCATGCCTGTAATCCCCGCATTTTTGGAAGGCCAAGGTGGGTGGATCACGAGGTAAAGAGTTTGAGACCAGCTTGGCCAGCATGGTGAAACCCCGTCTCTACTAAAAATACAAAAAATTAGCCAGGTGTGGTGGCGTGTGCCTGTAGTCCTAGCTACTTAGGAGGCTGAGGCAGGAGAATTGCTTAAACTCAAGAGGAGCAGGTTAGAGTGAGCCGAGATCCAAGCGCTGTACTCCAGCCTGGGCGACAGAGCAATATTCTGTCTTGAAAACAAAACAAAACAAAACAAAACCCCTAACTGTTTAATGTATATTTTTTTGGCAAATGAGAGGTACCTGTAAAAGATAAGTTTAGCTAGTGGACCATAGAATGTTTATTTCATAATATCAAATATTTAGTTCTGTCCAAATTGTTATTGGTATATATACTTTCACCATGCTTAGGTAGACATATAATAGCAAATTTAAATTCAGGGAAAATCTCACAAACATAGGAAACCCTCATTGAAATTACTTGTTATTATTGTGGAAGTTTCCTACTCAGTAATCCAAAGTAGAAGGGAAATAGCTTAGCAGAAATAAACCTGGATTTCTCTTTCAAAACCTAAAGCAAGAATATCTTAAGAAAAATGTTGATGATATTTTCTAAAACCTGTGTAAGTGTGAAGGTGTCATGTGTTTGTCTATATGCATGTGTCTCTTTTATAATGCAAACCTTCTTGGGTCAAGATAGCAAGAATGTATTTTTATTCAAAAGAACAGTCCCCGAGTGCCAGAAATTGTGCTAAGCCCCAGAGTTAGAAAGAGAAACCAGAACTAAGCCTGTCCTTAAAGAACTCAACCAACTAGGCCGGGCACGGTGGCTCAAGCCTGTAATCCCAGCACTTTGGGAGGCCGAGGTGGGTGGATCACAAGGTCAAGAGATCGAGACCATCCTGGTCAAGGTGGTGAAACCCCGTCTCTACTAAAAACACAAAAAATTAGCTGGGCAAGGTGGCGTGTGCCTGTAATCCCAGCTACTTGGGAGGCTGAAGCAGGAGAATTGCCTGAACCCAGGAGGCAGAGGTTGCGGTGAGCCGAGATCGTGCCATTGCACACTCCAGCCCGGGTAAGGAGCGAAACTCTGTCTCAAAAAAAAAAAAAGAACTCAACCAACTAATAAAAAGTTGGCTAGAAGTGACACTAGAAAGTGCTGAAATGTACTTCTATAGAGGATGAACATTTCAATTACAGTTAAGAACATTTCAATTAAGCTGGGATACTTTTGTGAATGAAGGGAGTGTTTACTGATAGTTATGCACGAACAATAGGCATAAATTGGGGATGTCCCAGGTAAACCTGGGTATATGATTGGTCACCCAGGTTGCTTGCAAATTTCCATTGACATACAGAAGAGGAAATACTCAACTCTTGTCAGTAGAGTGGGAGGTAGGTGTGGTGGTTGAAGAGATTAGGAAAGAATTCAAGAAGCATATAATATGTAGTCATCTGCTGACATTACTTTATTAATTAATTCATTCCAAAATATTTATTTAGTGCCAACTATGCACCACGCAACATGTTAGAGGCTGAGGATGTAAAATAAGATGAGGACTCTAATCTCAAGGAGCTTATAACAATGTGGTGAGGAATGGGGGACAGACAATAATCAAATAATCATGTAATTCATAATTATAAACTGGGTAAATGATTAAGCATTAAAAAGTATAGGGAGCTATGAGTTGAGCCTTAAAGGAAAGAGTTAAAATTTGCTGGGCAGGGAAGAGTTTTTCAAATTACAAGTATATGAAGATTAATATGATACAGTGCCTTAGTCAACACCTCATGCCTAATATTATTGGCAAGGAGTGATAAATGAAAGCATTGAAGATGGTGAAAGCAAATAGTCACATTTGCTCAAAAAAGGAAGGTGAGTGGGGAGAAAAGTTTCAAAGATGATGTTTTAGCTTATGACATGTGTTGAAAGGAGTTGTTGGCTGGGCACGGTGGTTCATGTCTATAATCTCAGCGCTTTGGAAGGCCAAGGCAGGAGGATCGCTTGAACCCAGGATTTGAGACCAGCCTGGGCAACATGTGCTGAAACCTCATCTCTACAAAAAATACAAAAATTAGTCAGGCATGGTGGTGTAGGCCTGTAGTCCCAGCTACTCTGGAGGCTGAGGTGGGAGAATGGCTTGAGCCCTGGAG